TGTCCGACTCTTTGTGACCCCATGAATCGCAGCACACCAAGCCTCCCTGTCCATCACCAACTCCCGGAGTTTACTCAAACTCATGCCCATCAAGTCGGTGATGCCATCCAGCCATCTCATCCTCTGTCGTCCCCTTCTCCTCCTGCCCCCAATCCCTCCCAGCATCAGGGTCTTTTCCAATGAGTCAACTCTTTGCATGAGGTGGCCAAAGTATTGGAGTTTCAGCTGCAGCATCAGTCCTTCCAATGAACAAACACCCAGGACTGATCTCCTTTAGGATGGACTGGTTGGATCTCCTTGCAGTCCAAGGGACTCTCAAGAGTCTTCTCCAACACCACAGTTCAAAAGCATCAATTTTTCAGCACTCAGCTTTCTTCACAGTCCAACTCTCACATCCATACACGACCACTGGAAGAACCATAGCCTTGACCAGACGGACCTTTGTTGGCAAAGTAATGTCTCTGCTTTTTAATATGCTATCTAAGTTGGTCATAACTTTCCTTCCAAGGAGTAAGCGTCTTTTAATTTCATGACTGCAGTCACCATCTGCAGTGATTTTGGAGCCCCCAAAAATAAAGTCTGACACTGTTTCCACTGTCTCCCCATCTATTTCCCATGCGATGATGGGACCAGATGCCATGATCTTAGTTTTCTGAATGTTAAGCTTTAAGCCAACTTTTTCACTCTCCTCTTTCACTTTCATCAAGAGGCTTTTCAGTTCCTCTCTGTCATAAGGGTGGTGTCATCTGCTTATCTGAGGTTATTGATATTTCTCCCGACAATCTTGATTCCAGCTTGTGCTTCATCCAGCCCAGCGTTTCTCATGATATATTCTGCATATAAGTTAAATAAGCAGGGTGACAATATACAGCTTTGGCGTACTCCTTTTCCTATTTGGAACCAGTGTGTTGTTCCATTATTCATTAGAGAAGTGCAAACTCAAACCACAATGAGATCATTGCACAACTATTAGAATAGTGAAAATAAAAAATAGTAATCTTACCAAATGCTGGTGAGGATGCTGAGAAATGATCTTTCATATGTTGCTGGTAGGAATGTAGAAGGGTTCAACCACTTTGGAAAATAGTTTCTTAAAAAACTAAACAAACAAACAAACAAAAAAACAAAAAGCAAAAAAAACAAAAAAACAACAACAACAACAAAAAAAACTAAACAATTCCAATACCAAAAAACCCCACAAAACCCAGCCCTAAACAAATAACATTCCGTATGACCCAGCAATTATAGTCCTGGGCATCTGTCCCAGAAAAATGAAAACATACCCCCACTCAAAAACTTGCATGGGATTGTTTATAGCAACTTTTTTGGTAATAGTAAAAAACTAGAAACAGCTACATCATCGTTCAAAAGATAAATGGTTAACCAAACTATGGTACATCCATACCATTGACTACTACCCAGCAATAGAAAGAAATGAAATACTGATAATGAATAAAAACAACTTGGATGGATGTCAAGAGCATTATGATGACTGAAAAAAGTCAATTTCAAAAGGTTGTATGCTATGACTTCACTTTTTATAATGACAAAGTTATAGATAGTTAGTGAGTATGATTGTGAAGGAGTAGCCCAAAGGAGACCTCTGGTGAGGGCATAGTTTTCTTCCTCCATTGCAGGGTGGTCACATGAGCCAACCCATGTGATGAAACCACTAGAATTTTACACACAGTACCAATGTCAGTTTCACGGTTTTGACAGTGTACTATAATAATGCACTTTTCTATACTACCATTGCAACTTTCTGTGAATCTAATCATTTCAAAGTAAAATCTTTCCTTAAAAATTAACACATCTGAAGCAACCTAGATGTCTATCAACAGATGAATTTATGGATAAAGAAGTTGTGAGACATATATCCAACAGAACATGACTCGGTCATAAACAAGAATGAATCTGAGTCATTTCTAGTGAGGTGGATGAACCTACAGCCTGAAATAAGCCAGAAAGAGGAAGACATCGTGTATTAACACATATATATGGGATCTAGAAAAACTGTACTGATGAACCTATTTGCAGGGTAGCAAATAGTGATGCACATAGAGACTTGTGGCAGGAGAGGGTGGGACAAAGTGAGAAAGTAGCACTGAAATATACACATTCCCAGGTGTAAACAGATGTGTGCTCAGTTGCTCAGTTGTGTCTGACTCTGCAACCCCATGGACGGCAGCCCTCCAGGTTCCTCTGTCCATGGGATTTCCCAGGCAAGAATACTGGAGTGGGTTGCCATTTCCTTCTCCAGGAGACCTTTCCCAAACCAGGAGTCGAACCCGAGTCTCCTGCATTAGCAGCCGGATTCTTTACCACTGCACCACCTGGGAAACCCCAAATAACTTGATCAGTTTATATAAATGCACCTTGAAACATTCAAGCTATTTAAAGGGTGTAAAGGATGTTTGCCTCTGTGCCCCTGGCTCAACTTAAGATGTAAGGCATTAGTCATACTGACGGAGCACCTGTGTGACCAGCTCCGGTTTCTGCCATCACCTCTTCAGCACTCCTCCTCCACCTCAGTCCCCTTCGGTCACCACCATCCCAAATTGGGTGCTTACTCCTGAACAGATCTTTATCATTTTCTTATATATATATTACTGATAAATAATATATAGTGTTTCATATGTCCTAAACTCTTTGTAAATGGTACCATACTGTGTGTAATCTCTAACATGCTTTTTCACTCAGCATTGCTGCTGCTGCTGCTGCCAAGTTGATTCAATCGTGTCCAACTCCTAGTGACCCCATAGATGGCAGCCCACCAGGCTCCCCCATCCCTGGGATTCTCCAGGCAAGAATACTGGAGTGGGTTGCCATTTCCTTCTCCAATGTATTAAAGTAAAAAGGGAAAGTGAAGTCGCTCAGTCGTGTCCGACTCCTAGTTACCCCATGGACTGCAGCCCACCAGGCTCCTCCGTCCATGGGGTTTTCCAGCAAGAGCACTGGAGTAGGTGCCATGGCCGTCTCCTCACTCAGCTTTATGTTAATACTATCCGTTTGTGCTGCCTTTAGCTATAGGTCATTAATTTCTACCGCTAGTTTTCAGTGTGTAGGGGGAAAAAAACAACCCACAAGATATCTGTCCTCTAGGTGCTGGACATTTAAATTATTTTCCTGTCTTTACTTTTAAAGTAATGCTCCTTTAGAGATCCTAGGATATGGCTCTTGTGTATATATGCAAAAATAGCCCTGAGATAAGAATTGCCAGATGACAGGTTACGCACATCTTCATAAACATATTGCATTTGCCTGACTAATGATGAGATGGAACATTGTGGTGCATTTATCGCCTACTCATTTTTTTTCTTTTCTGTGAATTTTGCACATTTTCCTCTAGGGTAGTTTATGACTTTTAGCAGTTATTTATATGTATTTATATGCTATTCCATGTTGCAAATATTTTTTTTCTCAATCTATAACAGTTTTGTCTATTATGTCTTTCGATGGAAAAAGTTTTAAATCTTTTTTTCCAATTAACTACAATTGATTTATGGTGAGAGTTGGACCATAAAGAACTGATGTTTTTGAAGTGTGGTGTTGGAGAAGACTCTTGAGAGTCCCTTGGACTGCAAGGAGATCAAACCAGTCAATCCTAAAGGAAATCAGTCCTGGGTGTTCATTGGAAGGACTGATGCTGAAGCTGAAGCTCCAATACTTTGGCCACCTGATGGGAACTGACATAAAAAAGACCCTGATGCTGGGAAAGATTGAAGGCAGGAGGAGAAGGGAAGGACATTCTCATCTCATCTTACTGAAGATGAGATGGTTGATGGCATCACTGACTTGATGGACATTGGTTTCAGCAAGCTCGGGAATTGGTGATAGACAGGGAAGCCTGGCTTGTTGCAATCTATGGGGTCACAAAGTCAGACACAACTGAAGAACTGAACTGAACTGATAGGTACAGTTGATTTGGGCTTCCCAGGCGGTTCAGTAGTATAGAATCTGCCTGCCAACGCAGGAGATGCAGGAGATGTGGGCCTAATCCCTGGGTTAGGAAGATCCCCTGGAGAAGGAAATAGCAACCCACTCCAGTATTCTTGTCTGGAAAGTTCAACGGACAGAGGAGCCTAGCAGACTAGAGTCTATGGGGTCGCAAAGAGTCGGACACATCTTAGTTACTGAGCACACACACACACACGCGCGCGCGCGTGCACAGTTGATTTACAATATTATATTAGTATTAGCTTTAGGTGCACAGCACTGTGATTCAATATTTTTATAGATTATACTCCAGTTAGAAGTGAAAGGCAGAGTAAATTTAAGATCCATCTCATATTTAGGTTATAGACCTTTTCTTGGATTTTACAGACTATGAGTCGTGTTCCTACTTTAAGTCCATGGGGTCAACGATGCCTTGCCCTGGCCTGACATCCTGAGGATGAATACCGAGTCTCCTAGCCCTTGGCAGAACTGTTCTCAGGGGTGGCCTGCACCCTGAATCCCCAGCAAGATGGACTCCCAGTTGCCCACAGGGGAGACCTGCTCGTTAATCCCCCTTGATTTCTCACTTCCTTCACTTGATTCCTGGGACCATTTCACAGATAACCCCTTGAACCTAATCCTTGACTAGGGAAGGTTCTGGAGAGGAATCAAACCCCTGCACTAACTCTCATTGTCTCCACCTCATTAAAGAGCAAGTCTCCTCTCCTTCCATTTGCAGTTGACGCTGCATTCCTCCCCCCACCACCCCCCCCCGCCGCCCCGCACCCCCTTTCCGTCTCGGTGTCCGTCCCCTGGCTCTCCCAACACACTGCCAGGACAGGTCACCCAGCTTGCACCAGATGCCAGGTGCGCGCAGAATGGGCGGCTCCCGCTCCTCCCGGCCGCAGGGGGCGCTGTGGGGCGGAGGTGCCTGCGAGTTCCAGCGTGCACCGCGCCCGGGCCGGGCCTGCAGGTCGGCGCGGAGCGCGAGGCCGCCGGGGGCTTGGCTAGGCGGTTGCCCGCCTAGTTGCCCGGTCGGGCGCCTAGTGGGACCGCGAGGGCCCATGGCCGAGCCGGCTCCGGTAAGACGGGCTCCCCCCGCGCGGACGCTCAGACCCAGCCTCAGGGAGGGTCCTCGGGGTTCCGGCTCGGTGGGTCGGCGTCTTGGGGTCCTCGCGAGGCGGACGCGGAGCGGATAGGTGGGCGGGGTCTGAGGCTCGCGCAAGACGCCCGGCGTGGGGACTGGACCCTGGACGGAGCTGGTGACTTCGGCTCCTCCGTGGCCAAACCCTGAACAAAGCCGAGCGTGAAACTGGAGAGCCTGGGCCGTGGGCGCCCGTGAGTCATGGGGCCAGACGAGGGAAGGCATCAAAATTCGTGTGGGGCCAGCGCTGGGTGTTAAAAGTTCAATTAGTTTTACATTATAGTTAAATTTAGAATAAATGTTTTTTTAAAAGTTTAGATTCTGAATGGTTGAAATGATATCTGGCAGGGTCAGAATTAAACCCTAATGTGTTGAAGTGTGTGTGGAGTGTAAGAAGGAAGGAGGACACGTTGGAAAGAATAGAGGTCGAATATAAAGACCTAAGTAGTATATACATTATTTATTTAGTGTTTTATTGAAATCGAGGTTTTATGTCTTTCTGTATTTTATAAGCTTACGTATTGAGCGTTTTTACACCTAGTTCCACAAGCAAGTTTCAGATGGAGGAGTAATTTCGGCTTTCAAGTCTTACTGCTTAAGAAACACATTTCATAAGGCTATAGTTGATTACTAAATGAATTCATGAGATCATTACTTTTAAGGTATTGTTAAAGACCTTAGCAAAGCAAAAGATAACAAGAACAACAAAACTGAAAAATATAATAATCTCAGCAAAAACTGTTGATTCCTAAATATGCAAAAGATATGCAACACATTTATAGTGAAAATTATAAGTGCAGACATACCTCAGGGATATTTTGGGTTTGGTTTAGAACTACTTCAATAAAGCAAATATCACAATAAAGGAAGTCTTTTTCTTTGTTTGGTTTCCAAGGGCGTATAAAAGTTATGTTTACACTATAGTCTGTTGAGTGTGCAGCAGCATTATGTCTTAAAAAGCAACCTACAGCCTTTAATTAAAAATACTCTATGGCTAAAAATCCTAACCATCATCTGAGCCTCTAGGAAGTTGTAATCTTACAGCTGTTGGGAGGGTCTTGCTCCATGTTGATGGATGCTGACTGATCCGGGTGGTAGTTACTAAAGGTTGGCATGACTGGCAGTTCTTAAGATAGCAGTGCAGTTTGCGGGATGGATTGACTCTTCCTTTCAGGAATGAGTTCTCTGTGGCATGTAATGCTGTTTAATAGCATTTTACTGAGGTAGCACTTTCAAAATTCGAATGAGTCTTCTTGAACCTTGCCACTGCTTTATCAACTAGGTTTATGATATTCTAAATCCTTTCTTGTCATTTTTAACAATCTAAATGGCATCTTCAGCAGGAGTAGATTCCAAATGGAGAAACTGCTGTCTTTGCTCATCCATAAGAAGGCTCTACTCATTTGTTAAACTTTTATCACAAGTTTGCAGCAGTTCAGTCATACCTTCAGCCTCCACTCTGAATTCTAGTTCTCTTTCTGTGTCCACCACATCTGCAGTTACTGCCTCTGCTGAAATCTTGAACCCCTCAAAATCATCCATGATGGTTGGAATCAACTTCTTCCAAACTCCTGTTAATGTCAATATTTTGACTTCTTTTCGTGAATCATGAATGTTCTTTGTGGCACCTCGAAGGATAAATTTTTTCCAGATTTTCTACTGACTTTGCCCAGACCCATCAGAAGAAGTATTTTAGCTTGATGAAATGTGTTTCTTAAATAATAAGACTTGAAAGTCAAAATTACTCCTTGATCTGAAGTTTGCCTGTGAAAGTGGGTATAAGAAGGGGTGGAGCTTTAGAGTTACTGGGTGGTAGTGAAGGAGCATTATCTGAACTCAAAGGGAAGGTTGTCACACCACTTGGGAACAGGTGGCGCTCACCACAGGGTAATCTAAATCTAAGGCAGCTAGAAGGTGCTAAGGGGATGCATGTGTGCACTTTGTATATTCCTACTCGGTTCAGTTCTCATAGTAGCAACCAGAACTCTCAAATCCCTAGGAATGAATCTGGCAAGACTTAATAAGATCTATATAAAGAAAACATTAAGTTTTACTAACACAAAATATCTAGGTAAATAAAAGATATGTTTCTGGATGGGAAGATCTCAAAATTTAGAGATCCAGTTTGATAAAGTTAATTTATATATTTAGTATATTCCCATCAGAATCCCAATAGGACAAAATATTTTCGCTGTTTATTTAGAAGAGAAAATATACAAAAGTCAAGACAGTTTCCTTTAAGAAAAGGGGGGGGAATGGGAGTGAGGCTCAAGAGGGAGGCTACACACACACACACACACACACACACACACACACGACTGACTTTTGATGTTGTACACCAGAAATCACAACATTGTAAAGCAAGTATCCTCCAATTAAAAATAAAAGATCAGGATCTAGGTGGTGGTAGATGGCCATATCCCTTTAAATGGCAAATCATTTGATAAAGATGTAAGAATTAAACAGTTCAGTATTAGAGCAAGAATAGACAGAATCACCAGTGGAACAAAAATATAACCAACTATAAATGGAAAACTAGTTTATGAAAAATTGATCCCAAATCCGTGGTAAACAAATAGACTAGTCAGTATGTTTTGTGACAGCTGAATATCTCTTTGGAAAAAGAATTCTGTCCCTTCTTGTTATGATACATATAAAAGTAAGTCCCAGATGGAAAAAGATTTCATTCTAATAAAGTCATAAAAAACATTACGAAGATTTCAGAATATCTTTTATAAAATATCTTTTATAATTTTAGAATAGGGTCAGTCTTCCAAGTCATCTATTAACACTAATGTATGAAAGTTAATTCAGATGATAAAAGCCCACTAAAATGTTGAGCCAAGGATGAGCGCAGACATGCACAAAGATATGTGGGGAACCCCCCCAAAATATGAAATAAGGTTGCAAAGTCTCACAAATGAATGCAAGTTAAAACAATGAAATACAATTTTTTACCTGTCACATAGGCCAATAAATAAACAAGCAAAGTTTAAAAACGTCCTGTGCTGGCAAAGGTGTAAAGAAATGTCTCTTCTTGGACTTGGCTGGTGGCTCAGTGGTAAAGAATCCACTTGCCAATGCAGGAGACATAGGTTCAATCCCTGGTCCAGGAAGAGCCCACATTCCATGGAGCAACTAAGCCAGTGCACTACAACTATTGAGCCTTCACTGTAGATCTCAGGAACCACAACTACTGCAGCCTGAGCACCCTAGAGCCTGTGCGCCACGAGAGGAGCCACCACAAGGAGGGGGCCAAGCACCACAACTAGAGCAGCTCCCGTTCACCGCAACTCGAGAAAAGGCCCGTGCAGCCACCAAGACCCAGCACAGCCAAAAACAATAACTACATTTCTTTCTTAAGTGGGCCCTACAAGGCATTCCAAAGGGGCTCTTTACAAAAATGTCTCTTTATATTAGCAAGGGTTAGGTGCTGGATTCTTTTTGGAAGTGCTGGATTCTAGTGATATCTTGTAAATAGAAAGCATTTCTATCCTTTGATTTAGTAGTTCTCATTTTTAGCCTTTTCCCACAGAAGTAAAACCACTCATATATAAAGAAGCATATCAGAGCATTGTTGGTAATTTATAAAGGAAATGGAAAATAGATGTCATCAGTGGGGTATGTGTATCCATGAATAATGCAATTATTTATTAATAATGCTATAATAATATATATATAATATAGTAATGCAATTTATTAGAAAAACCTGATTTTGCCTATATAAATTGACCTAGGAAGATGACATTGAAAGAAGTTACACAGTGATTTGTTCCCATTTTTGTTTAAAGGAAAAATGAAGGAATTCTATTCTATACATAAGCATTCGTAGCTGGACCAAGCATAGAGAAACAAGTGGAAGCGGGGGTTGTGGTCACCAAACAGAACCACATGATGGGAGTAGGGGGAGGAGCTCTTCCCAAGGGAGATGCTGCCTAACAGACAAAAACACTCTTCACTACGAAACTCTTAAATTGATGACAAGGAAGTAGGGTTTTGAAGCAATTACGACTATAAGCCTGGTGTGCTGCAGTCCATGGGGTCACAAAGAGTCCGACATGACTGAGCAACTGAACTGATGACTGTATATGTATTATAATTTCAGTTACCTCTGACTTTTGAGGATGTGGCCATTTATTTCTCAGAGCAAGAATGGCAGAATCTAGAGGCATGGCAGAAGGAGCTTTACAAGCAAGTAATGAGAGCCAATTATGAGATTCTCCTTTCTCTAGGTAAGAAGTCTTTAACTGTGGCTAAGGTATGGAATTAGCTCCTGTTAGGGGTCTCAGTCACTCGATAACTCCTGTTTCTCAGTTCGCCAGGTTTCTCAGAAATTAACTCAGAAAGGCACTTTTACCCAGAGACTTTCGTTAATATCTGTAAGTATTCCTAACCCTTACTTAAGGGTGTATGTTGCTACATGAGAATACTTATGACAGCGTGTAATATAAAGTGGTCAGAGATGACTAAACATATGTCAGGACTTTTAATCACTGTATACTCAGAGGTTGCCATGATTTTCCACATGGACACATGCCTTACCCATATCCATAAACTACCCTGTGTATCTTTAACCTATGATGTTCCTCTGTGTGTGTGTGTGTGTGCTGTGGTCAGTTGTGTCCGACTCTGCGACCCCATGGACTGTAGCTGGACTCCTCTGTTCATGGGATTTTCCAGGCAACAATACTGGAGTGGGCTGCCAGTTCCTCCAGGACAATGTTCCTACCTGTCAGCTTTTACAGTGATGTCCATATGCCTCAGGAAAGCTAATGTTATCTTTCTCTACAATGTGATTTCAGAAGGCTATACACACTAAGGTGTGTTTTTTTTTTTCCCCACACTAAGGTGTTTAACTGCAGTTGTTTCTGTGTAGTTGTTCTTATGGTGTTCCTTTTAGTCTTTTTGCTTAGTCTTTATAATTTTATTATTAAATATGATTGTTTTAAAAAAGTCAGAATGAATGGTAAAAGTCTCTTGCTTCACTCTCATCCCACTCCTGCCCCCCACTCAGTTCATTCCTCAAAGGCAATCACTTTTAATCATTTCTGTATTAGTTCTTACTTTGGTTCCCTCTAGTCTTATCATGCTTACACCTGTATTTCTTAGTTTATCTAGTTTAGACAGCATTAACTCCTTACTGTGTATCTTTCTTCTGTCTCCTTCTTCCCAAATTTTCATAGTTTTTTAGTGCCTCTATTTGCTATCTTTATAATTTAAATGATAGATTTCTAGATCATGTTTCATAAACTTTATATCTCTTGATCCCTTCAGTCTATAAGATAATTAGTTCTCTTAATATTCCCTCTGCTTCTCCTGCCAACATCTGCCAACCAGACCACTTCTTTTATATTGCAGCATTTCTAATACTTATATTGTCTCATTACCATAATCAAGCTTTCTAGTTTCTATGGAGTGTTTCTAAAACATTAATCCAAGTTATTACATTGTTTTCATTGTTACTGAGGAACCAGTTAATTGAATTTATAGAGATAGAAAAATAATCGGGTCATGAATACTGTGCCACCCAAAAAGAAATGTTCCAAGCATCAAGATCAAATGATGTGAAGTGGTGTATCATTGTGTGTTTGGTTTGCATTTCCTAAATGGTTAATCATGTTGAGCATCTTTACGTTGCATATCTTCTTTGGAGAAATGTTTATTCAAATATTAATACTTGGCCTGTTCTTAAAGTTTTTTTTTTTTTTTACTGTTGGGATATGAGAGTTCTCTATTTCTTCTGAATACTGGACCCACAACACATATGCGATTTGCAGATATTTCTGCTAGTTCTTGGGCTGTCTGTTTTTTGATGGTGTCCTTGAAGCACAGAAGTTTTAAGTTTTCATGAAGTCCAGTTTATTCTTTTCTTTCGTTGCTTGAGCTTTTGGTGTCATACCTAAGAAACCATTGCCAAATCCAAAGTCACAAAGATTCACTCCTATGTTTTCTTCTAAGAATTTTATAGTTTTAGGGCTTATATTTAGGCTTTTGATCCTTTTTATTCCCCTTCTTTGATTAGTTTTGAGTTAAATTGTTTTACATGGTGTGAGGTAGTGATCCAACTTCTTCCACGTATAAATATCCAGTTGTCCCAACACCGTTTTTTGGAAAGCCTGCTTTTCCCCCATTGAATTATCTTGACAGCCTTTGGAAAACCAGTTGACCATAAAAACGGTAGTTTATTTCTGGATTCTCATTCTGCTTCTTTGATCTCTATGTCTAGCCTTATGCCAGTACCACACTGTTTTAATTACCATTGCTTTACTATCAGTTTGTCAGTTTCTACCAAAAAAGAAAAAGCAGATGGGGTTTGGAGAATATTGTCATCTTAACAATACCAAGTCTTCCAATCTTTTCATTTCATTTATTTAGGACTTTTTAGAATTACTTTCAACACTTTATGATTTTTATTGTCTTATTTTCTTTTATTAAATGTATTCATAGTATTCTATTCTTTTTGACATGGTTATACATGGATTTGTTTCTTATTTTTTTTTAGGAAGATAGTTTTATTTTCAAAGATGCAGAGAGTTCAACCCAGATGAAGACTGAGAATAGGTATCTGGATTTGAAAAAAAGATAGTGATTCCTTTTATCATGAGAGGAGCCTTGGAATTAATTTGGGGTTGAAGTCAGATTTCAGAGGGCTAGTGAGGAATCCGGCACAGTGTGATCAGTTTCCATGAGTACATGATTCTTCTCCGACATTTTATCCCTAACGCATTACCCAGCTTATCCTCTTTCTCTGATCTGAACCTTCTGCTAATCTCCCTTTAGCAATCCATAAAGCATACTTTTGGTTCTTTTAAATATATATATTTATAATAAATCAAAAGAAAGGTTTGAAAATAGAGTAAACTTTTCTTCCATGGGTCCAGGGTCACATAGTAGAGAATCTTGTAACTATTTTCATTTGTTCATTGATTGCAACCCCTTCTATTCTAGCAGAACTCAACTGTTTTAGGTTGTGATTGTAATGTTACCGAAAGTACTCCTCAGAGAATGTTTTAGATGAAGCTACCTACATTGAAATCTCCTAGAATAGTCATTGTCGTTCTTATTTTTGTGTACCCTGTATTCCCAAGATATTGCCAGTTGTCTCAGGTGTTGTTCCAGCATTCTCAAAGCACACTACTGGTGAGTTTTAATAAACCCATGACACAATGCAGTATTGCTAGCTCTATAGGAACCAAAATGAAATTGAACATACAACTCATCTAAAGGTCCCGGTCAGTTAGGAAGCAGTATTACAAAATGTGGGTAGTTTTGCTTCTCTTTGTGTAAACCTATACTCTATTTTTCAAACATCTCTTCTCATATATTTTACCAGGAGTAGATTTAGGAAATTTAAAAACAACTTACTGTGCTTCTAAATTTAGTGCTGAAGGAAACCAAACTACTCTGTTTGACTTTTCTGTACAGATAATGGACTTCCCAAACCAGAACTAATATCCTGGATTGAGCAGGGGAAAGAGCTCTTTAAGAAATGGGGAGAATCACAGGAATCAAGAAGCATAATTTGCTCCTCTGCTGATTTGCATTTTGATCCAGTTATTGAGGGACAGCCATTTTCAGGTGAGTTTTAAAGTGATTTCTTAAGGCTCTGTCCTTAAGACAGCATATTCACATTTCTTAGTTCCAGTTCTTTGACGTTGCCTTCCGGTTTGACTGAACTGAGGCTTAACATCTGGTATAGTCCAGAGAAAGGCAGTAAAGCACAGTAGCTAGGAGTATGGGTTCTGGATCCTGAGTCTGGGTCTTGCCTTTTCCAGGTAACCTGGGCAAGTTATTCATCCTCTCCTGGTGGCTCAGATGGTAAAGAATCCACCTGCAATGCGAGAGGCCAGGGTTTGATCCCTGGATTGGGAAGATCCCCTGGAGAAGGGAATGGCTACCCATTCCAGTATTCTGGCCTGGAGAATTCCATGGACTGTATAGTCCATGGGGTCACAAAGAGTCAGACACGACTGAGCAACTTTCACTTGACCTATGAAGATTTAAGTACTTACATTATAGGATTAAATGAATTGATATATGTAGACTGTTAACATGATACCTGGCAACACAGTAAGAGCTCAGCAAATATGCTCTATTCTTCAGGCAGTGGGAATTGGCAGCTCCTTTGTTTCTTGTCATGGTAAGAGAGTCTAAGATTTGGGGATTCTTAACAGTCAGTATAGAGAAAGGAAAAAGTGAGTTACTCAGGTGTGTCCAACTTTTTACAACCCCATGGACTATATAGTCCATGGAATTCTCCAGGCCAGAATACTGGAGTGGGTAGCCTTTCCCTTCTGCAGGGGATCTTCCCAACCCCGGGACCGAATCCAGGTCTCCTGCATTGCAGGCAGATTCTTTACCAGCTGAGCCATGAAGGAAGCCCAAGAATACTAGAGTGGATAGCCTATCCCTTCGCCAGTGGATCTTCCTGACCAGGGAATTGAACTGAGGTCTTCTGCATTGCAGGCAGATTCTTTAACAGAGTAAGGAAAGAGAAAGTCAAATGGGAACATCATTCCAAGAAATCTTGTCAATAATTTACTTTTTAGCTGCTTCTTTCAGGAGAATAAAGAGTTTTGCTCACAAATTATTTCACTTTTTACCATCTGTTATCAGCCCTTCTAAGAAACCTTTTTACAAGATTGGTAGGAATAGAGGTGAGGAGGGAGGAACAGCTGGTCTTAGGACAGCTCATGGATTACACATAACCATAGTGGTGGTGTTTAGTCTCTAAGCTGTGTACGACTTTTCTGTGACCCCGAGGACTGTAGCCCACCAGGCTCCTCTGTCCATGAGACTTTCCAAGCAAGAACCCTGGAGTGGGTTGTTATTTCTTTCTCCAGGGGATCTTCCCTACCCAGGGATCAAACCTACATCTCCTGTATTGGTAAGCGTGTTCTTTACCACTGAGCCACTTGGGAAGCCCAGCCATAGTGTTAGCCAGGGCTTAATGCTGCCAGGAACATTACCATCATTATATTTTGAACCAGGAATGTCTGCACATCCAAATGGGACAAGACTGGTGGTCCCCAGGTCATAATAATGGTGAACATGTAGAGTACCTGCAGCATTCCAAGCCCACACTAAGCACTTTACATACATTAATTCATACAGTCCTCATAACAGTTACGTGTTGCTGTTTCCATTTCTATAGGATAAGGAACTGAAGCCGGAGATTAGCTTGACAAAAGCAGCACAGTGAACAGACAGGATTTGAACCCAGTCTGATGCCAGAGCCTAGGCCCTACACTTGTGACCTAAGTGTCCTCTTTTCAATAGTATTCTAAGATAGGTCTGTTCAGTTTAGTCCTAAGCTAAGACTCATGACTCTCCTGGTCATGAACTTGCCCCCCACTGAAAGGAGCTGCTGGTTTAGTTCAATGGAAGTTGGGCTCCTGGGCCACCTCAGGTTACCATCACTGACCATAAAAGCCTTAGCCATGACACAGGCTGGGATACTGACTGAATCTTGTTTTCAGTTTCAGGAAACCAACAAGCTGTGAGTTCAGAAGAAGCTCATTACCATTTCCAAGTAGATCCTCTTCAGAGCCACTGTTCCTCTGAACCCTTATCAGGAAAAAGTGAAGATGTTTCCTTCAGGCCTGACCAAGCCGTCGCCCTCTTGAACCCACAGAGACATAACACTCGGCCTCTACTCCCAGGGGTCCACAGCTCCAGGGAACCCGCCCAAAGAGACAGAATCGCAAGCCCCAGAGACCTGGGTCTCCCAGGTTTCCAGAAAACTGCCTCAGGGGAGGGCCTCCAGCAGTCTTGTGCCTTCTGTGGAGAAAGCTTTTGGAATGAGAACTTCTTAGAGCAGCACCAGGGAAGCCACTCAAAGGCCTGGAAACAACTCAGCAAACAACCCGAGGCAGAGCAGCCTCGGAGCCAGACTCACCTCCAGACTCACTTCCGCTGCCTCGGATGCGGGCGGGGCTTCCGTCGGAAGCCGCCCTTGCTTAGCCCCCTGGCGGTCGGGGCTGAGGAGAGCCACCCGCTAGGCCTAGAACGTGAAGAGCCGTGCGGCTGCCGCCTGACACCACCACTGCCTTCCCCGTGCCCCGGTTGCGAGGACAGTGCCTCCCGGGGGCCCCCGGGCGTGGAGAGGCCAGTCTCTCCGAGAGAGGGCGCCGGGGCAGCCTCCGAGCAGGCCGAGCTCCCTCCGAGCTCGAACCTGGCTGGTCAGGCGTGTGGCCTCTGGGCTGGAGACCCGGAGGCCCTCGAGCCTAGCCCCGGTGGGGAGAGGCCGTCCTCCTGTGGCGCGTGCCGCCGGCGTCCCTCCCGGCGGTGCAGGGTCTCCGACCACACCCATGTGCACCGCGCGGAGCAGCCCTGCCGGTGCGCTGAGTGCGGTCGGGCCTTCCGCCAGCGCCGGCCGCTGCGGCTGCACTGGCAGCCGCACTCGCACGAGCCGCCCTGCCCAGGTCCGGAGTGCGGCCTGGGCTTTCGCCTGAGGAGCCCGCTGCGGGCCCACGGGCTGCGGCACGGCGCTGAGAGGCCGCTGGCGTGTGGCGAGTGCGGCCGCGGCTTCGCCCATCCGTGCAAGCTGCGTGAGCACCTACGGGTGCACAGCGGCGAGCGGCCCTTCGGCTGTGCGGAATGTGGCAAGAGCTTCCGCCTTAAGGGCATCCTGAAGGCGCACGAGCGCACGCACAGCCGCGAGCGGCCCTTCCAATGCGTCGAGTGCGGCCGGGGCTTCACGCGGCCGTCCAAGCTGGCTGAGCACTTCCGCGTGCACAGCGGCGAGCGGCCCTTCGGCTGCCCGGACTGCGGCCGCCGCTTCCGCCTCCAGGGGCAGCTGCGGAGCCACCGGCGGCTGCACACGGGCGAGAGGCCCTTCCTGTGCCCCGACTGCGGCAAGAGCTACCGCGTGAAGGCCGACTTGAAGGCGCACCAGCTGCTGCACGGCGGCCCGATGCCCTTCTCCTGCGAGTGCGGCAAGGGCTTCGCCAAGCAGTCCAAGCTCGTGGAGCACGTCCGGACGCACACGGGCGAGAAGCCCTTCCAGTGTCCCCAGTGCGACAAGCGCTTCCGCTTGAAGGCGCAGCTGCTCAGCCACCAGGGCCTGCACACCGGCGAGAGGCCTTTCCGCTGCCCCGAGTGCGACAAAAACTTCCGGGAAAGGGGCCACATGCTCCGGCACCAGCGCATCCACCGGCCCGACCGGCCGTTTGTCTGTGCAGACTGCGGCAAGGGCTTCATTTACAAGTCGAAACTGGCCGAACACGTCCGAGTGCACGCGAAATCCTGCCGTGTCCGCAGAGAGCCTGACGTTAAGAAAAGGCTCAGCCAGCTGTTTGCGATGATCGAGGCCGACTGGAGTTGAGGCCAAGGAGGACACCCAAAGCGGTCAGCTGAGTCAGTGTTGCCTGGGAATCCACAGCCAAAACCCACATCTGGTAAGACAGAGCAAGAATGGAATGCAAGTTAGGAATAGGAGAAACCACAAAGATTCTCTCATTTAAAACATCACCAGCTATTAATATATTTTTTTACCCATTGATAAAAAGAGGTATTTGTTCTTCCCACCATCTTATAGGATCATTTTCCCACCACATGCTAATAAGCTAACTCTGAAATCCCTACTTGAATTTAGACAGCAGGAAAGCCCTCCAGTACTGTTCTCAAAAGCATGGGATGACTGTTAAATGTCAGCTCTTCTCTTCATAGTATGAACATAAGCAGGGGGTTCAATCCAGTGAATTTTGTTGCAGGTCTGAAATGATACTGGATTTGGTTTTGATTCATTTATTTGAAGCTTAATAGCAATAAAATGAGTTCTCCGAATCGGGGTGTGTCGCTGTGAATGCTGAAGTGTCATAGCAGGTTCCACAGTGATTATGCATAGTTACCCTTCAGGAAAAGATGATAATTGTAAGAAAAATTTGGTTAAGCTGGGTTGAAGAAAAAACTGAAGGTGCTAAGTCATATGGGACTGGAGTTTGGTGGTTTTTTTTTTTTCTTCCCAGTTGGAGTGTAGTTGATTTACAATTTGTTAGTTTCAGGTGTACAGCAAAGCGATTCAGTTATACATACATATATAATGTGTGTGTGTGTCTATTTTTTTTTTGAGATTCTTTTCCCTTATTAGTTACTACAGAATATTGCATATAGTTCCCTGTGTTATACATTAGGTTCTTTTTGCTGTATATATTAATCTCAAACTCCTAATTTATCCCCCCCTCCCCCCGGACTAGAATTTATTTAAGAGAGAGACACAGGAGGTACGTTTGGGAGTTCCAGAACACAGGTGCTATTTGAAACTGAGAGTGAATGAGATTTCCAGGAGTGACTTTCTAGGCAGATGACTAAAGCCTTGAGTTAAGACAAAGTAATAAAGCTAAGCAGGAAGCATGACAGGCAACAACAGTTCTGTGTAGAGACTTTTCAAACAAACGTTCAAAGTAACAACGCAAATAGAAATACAGGAAAACACCCCATTTGTCACATTCTGTGCAGTTTGCATGAGAATAGAATGTTTATACCTCAGGGAGAGAGTTGTACTCCATCCAAAGAATTCCTGACTTTAGAGGGTTCATGTTTCATATAAAAGAATGGCTGACCTGCAGTTCTGCAAGATGACAGAAAATAAGACATCAGTAGACTGTAATGGACATTATTATAAAGCAATGATTGGGAGGTTGGGAATCTTTTGGTGGTTCAGTGGTTAGGATTCCATATGCTCTCGTTGCCGTGGCCCAAAATCAATCCCTGGTGGGGGAGCTAGGATCCCACAAGCTTTGAGGCACTGCCAAGAAAAAGATGGGGGAAAAAAGCAATGGTTCATAGATGATTTTTCTCTGGAACACTGCATCCAAAGATATTCTGGGAAAAAAAGAATAACATGGCCGATTACTTTAAGTTAAATAGTTTCCTCCTACATACACATAATCTATGATTCTCAAGAGGAAGACATTACGTATTATAATATTCTGAATTTGTTTGATCTTGGGATTCCTTTCTCCCCCATCTCCCCCCTATCCCAACACTATGATCTGTGGACATAGAATTCTGCAGGACTCAATTTTGGAAAATGTTACTGAAGGATAGCCCTGGCTCCAGCCAAGTAGCTCTTAGTCCAAGGCCTTCAGTTTTTTTTTTTTTAGGCCTTCAGTTTTAAGTGACAAAATAGAACTTCAAGTCAGAATAAATCTTTAATTGATTTTAGCACACTCTCCTATGTGACAGACCCTAACAAATTTGTGTTAGATATTACATAATAATATTAGATAATATTAAGAAGTGATATGATTTAGGCAGGTTTATGGGATTCTCAGATGGATCAGTGGTAAGGAATCTGCCTGCCAATGCAAGAGATGCCGGTTCAATACCTGAGTCAGGAAGGTCCCCTGGAGGAGTAAATGGCAACCCACTCCAGTCTTCTTGCCTGGAAAATCCCATGGACAGAGGAGCCTGGCAGGCTACAACCCATGAGGTTGGATAAGAGTCAGACTTAGTCTCAACTGAGCACACACATAATCACTAGAGATACATGGTTATGTCGGCAGTGATCACGGGGCAGCCAGCCTCACAGGCATGAGGAAAGAAGGGTCAGGGGCCCTGATACAGATGACGGAGCAGAAGGAAGAGGAGGAGGAGGGGTCCCTGTGGGAAAAGGGAAGGTGGAGGATGTGATAAGGTAGAAGCTTTGAGGGAGACTGAAGGCCAGGGCCTCGGTTTGGTGTTCTCACATACTGCCTGTTAGAACTGGCTTGACCTGGGACTTCCCTGGTGGTCCAGTGGCTAAGACTCCACAATCCCAATGCAGGGGGCTTCAGTTCGACCCCTGGTCAGGGAACTAGATCCCACATGCTGCAACTAAGAGGTCGCATGCCACAGCTAAAGATCCTGCATGCCACAGTGAAGATTAAAGATCCTGTGTGCCACAACTAAGAGCTGCCACAACTAAGTAGATGTTAAATGTGTACGGAATTGGAGGATCTCAGAGACAGTAAAAGCTCCAGAGTGTTTGAATCTTATTAGAAACTGGAAGTGTTGTGGAGGAAGTTGAGGAAAAGGGCACCACCCAGCTAAACCCAAGTACTCCAGGTTGCCCACATCACAAATGAAAAAGATACCAGAGTGGTGTCTAAAGAATTGAGGGATTTCTGGGAAAGAAGGTATTATTTTAAGCACAAGTTTCTAAAACTTCTCTTCCTTTCCTACCCAAAATTTCTAAAAAAGATCAATGCTATCACAATCTGGTGGAATCTGTGACTTCCAACAAAAGAAAAGTTCTGTCTTCTACAAAGGAATGGGCTTCTCTGGTAGCTCAGCTGGTAAAGAGTCTGCCTGCAATGCAGGAGACCCTGGTTCAACCCCTGGGTGGGGAAGTTCCCTTCGAGAAGGGAGAGGCTGCCCACTCCGGTAGTGAGCTTCCCTGGTGGCTCAGACAAATGGAAATGATCCCAGCGTGCGAGAATCCGCCTGCCATGCGGGAGAGCTGGGCTCGATCCCTGGGTTGGGAAGATCACCCGGAGGAGGGCATGACAGCCCACTCCAGTATTCTTGCCTGGAGACTCCCCACGGACAGAGGAGCCTGGCGGGCTGCAGTCCATGGGGTCCCAAAGAGCTGGACACGACTGAGTGACTAAGCACACAAGCACACATAGCACACAGAAGAATAATAAATATGACTGGCTCAACAATGATCATATTAAAGTGACAGAATGGTTTAAAGTTTTTTTCCATTAAAATCAAGAAGATCACTGCTGAGCTATTAACATTATGGAATGCATCGTATGACTGTATACCTGAAACATCTGAGAGAATCAGCTAGATAACCAGTTGGTGGTGGTGGTGGTGGTGTTTAGTCACTGAGTCATGTCTGACTCTTTGAGACCCCATGGACTGTAGCCCACCAGGCTCCTCTGTGCATGGAATTTTCCAGGCAGGAATACTGGAGATGGTTACTATTTCCTACTTGAGGGGATTGATCCTGTATTGACAGGCAAACTCTTTATCCCTGAGCCACCTGGGAAGCCCTGAAGAGGGTGACGAGATAGTTATTTTTAAGACAGGGCAAAAACATTTTAAAACCAGATTGTCTCTCTGCCCTGGGGACTTCCTAGCTTTCCATTGGTTAGAACTCTGAGCTGCCACTGCTCAGGGTGACCTGGTCAGGGAACTAGGATCCCACATGCCATGCCGCATAGCCAGAAGAAAACAAGTCTCCCCCTGCCGTTACTCCACCGCCTAGAGTGCATTGTGCACCTGCATTACACACTAACTAGATCCCCTTGGAGGACACGGAGTGCCTAACTCGCCAAAAATCTCCACCCAGTTTCCTCCTGGCACCGGCAGTGTGACTCCTCAGGAGTTAATGTTCTTTTCTCTGTCCTCTAAGGAGTCACAGTAACCCACTAGTTGCCTTGTTGGACTATATATAAATTGTCATTACACTACTTTAATGTATAACCCTTTGTCTCAAAAACCTGTATAACCGTGTTTTGACTTCTGAGAGGTGAAACAGTCTTCAGAGCTGTCTGAAGGACTGTCTCCATTGTAATAATCCTCAGGTTGGTTCAAATAAAAATGTCTGTGTCTTTTATGAGGTCAACTACCGATTAGTTTTTTTAATGGACAAGGAGTAGTTTGGAGTACCAAAAAATTGAGGCAGAAAAGGGACAACCTTACACATGATACACCTCCCTGATTTATATGCTTATCAATTTTAGGTCCAGCCTTGTGTAATTATCAAAGGAGAAAGAGGCCAGAGTTTAAATTTTAGCACTCCCAGTCAAGACATCCTGGGAGTCATGGACACCTACTGGATGAACATCAGGATTTAAAAAGCTAAGATCATGACCTCTGTTCACATCACTTCGTGGCAAACAGAATCCCTTGGACTACAAGGAGATCAAACCAGTTAATCCTAAAGGAAATCAACCCTGGATATTCACTGGAAGGACTGATGCTAAAGCTGAAACTCCACTTCTTTGGCCACCTGATTCAAAGAGCCACTCAATGGAAAAGACTCAGATACTGGGAAAGACTGAAGGCCAAAGGAGAAGGGGCGGCAGAGGATGGCGTGGTTAGATAGCATCACCGACTCAATGGACATGAATTTGAGCAAACTCCGGAAGATAGTGAAGGACAGGGGAGCTTGGCGTGCTGCAGTCTCTGGGGTCGCAAAGAGCTGGATGGCATTTAGCGACTGAAGGCACCTTGCTCCCAGGATGCCTCTGGAGATTCTTGGCTCCTTCTGCCTGCAGGCGGCGCTGTGGGAGCCCAGTCCCTAAACCGGACCAGAAAGGCGACGTTCCCGAGATGGCCTGCGTGTCGTCAGGGCAACGGGCGTGGAGGGGTGCAGGCCCCGCCTCCCCGCCCCTCTCACCCACCAGCGGCCGCTCGAGCCTGGTTCCCAGCGGCAGTAGCGGCGGCCGGATCTGGGAAAAGGAGACCTTGCGTCCCGCAGAGGTCTGGAATCCCGCCCGGCACCACGCCGGTGGTTGGCTCAGCGGCCACGTTCTGGATCTCGGGCTCCGCAGACTGCAGGTGTCATCAGTTGGGAGCAGCGACCACGCAGCCTGGCAGAGGGGGCAGTGCGCAGTCGCAGGAGAAAAAGCCAGCCAGGAGGAGGCAACGGTCCTGGATGCTCGAACTGACTGAAATCTGCAGCCTCAGCCGAGTTCGTGTGTTGCCCAGAGGGGGCCGTGCAGGGAAATCTGTGTTCTCAGCCGTGGACACTTAAGTTCCTTGAAGCAGAGAAGTGATTTTTTAAAAAAAATCTTTGTTACCCATGTGGTGTGTGACCCCAGTTGGGAAAACTTGTTGAATCAATGAATGGAAGAGGCCTATGCATAGCCACTGACTTTCCGGTCAGTCCAGGGCTTTCTGAATGTGTCTGTTTCTCTGAAGCTCAGTCTATGCTGGGAGTACTGTTGGTAAAGATACAGCGTGGGAGAAAGGTGAAGGAATTACGGCTGAGAAAGGGAAAGAGATCCCATAGGGGGCATATGGTATAATACTATTAATAAATTGCAATTGTAGGGAGTGTAGTTCTTTAGAAAACGATAATGACGGTTGCAACTCCTATTTTAGTTTCAAATCTTTCAGACATCCCTAGGGGTGACAGTAACTCAGGTTCCAGATACTTAAAGTCAAAACTAATGTTTCTCAAGGAACAGGACAATTTCTTACTGTGTTTTACACTAACACAAAAAAAATGGAATTTAGAATAGAATCTTTAGAGATCATTATCCAATTTCTTTATTGTAGAGGTTAGGAAAGGGAGTTACAGAGAGGTTGAAGTGAATTGCCCCAGGTCACATAGCTCACGATTGAGAATACAGCCTGTTTCTTGAGTTCCAGTTCTGTGCTCTCCTCCCTTCCCTTCCATGCATATTTAATGTTTATTGGGACTCTTTTCCTTTAGTAAATATTTATACTGACAGTATTGTTTCTCTTGGACTGGGGCTGCTTAATTAAGCTTCTGTTTCACATATTTTAAGTTGTCAGGAAGCTGGAGGGCTTTTTCCTTAGTCCCCTTTGTCATCTTTTGGGGAAAGTGGTGTTTTGATTCTATCGTGCAAATGGCCTTGAAAAGATCATGGATGATTTATCATTTCTTTCTGACATTCCTAATATGCTCTTGGGGCAAATAGTTTTCAGTTTAAGTTTCATTTTAGTGGAGTCAAACTAGCAATTGTAGAAGTCTCTGTAAATATAACTTTCTTAAAAACATAAATGTGTTTCAGATTTCTCACAGGAAATGTTGAAGACAGTTCTGTATGTCCTTTATCACATGGTTTTTTAACACATTTACACAACTATGCCATACAATAGGTAATTACATGACTGTGTCTTAGGCGATGTACTCAAATGTTCTTTTTATTGAATCAGACTCTGTTTCAAGTTGTGTTTCTCCAGTTAGAAATGAGTGTCTGGCAGTTCCAGTGACTGACTTCTTTATGAATCCCCTGCCCCCTCAATGTTCCTGTAAAACAAGGGCCTACATGTCGAATGTTCTACCTCTGTCAGGTTATAAATCTGCTTTGTTTGCAACAAACATTAAAATTTGGAAAGATGACCAGAAAAACCATCACAAGCTCTTTCTGGTCATCCAAGCCTTGCCCTTTTTGCATGTTGGAAAGTCTGGCTTCTCAAGATCTATGTCATAGCTTCTTGCCTGATACAAACAAAAGTAGAAGGCTTTTAAACATTACTGAGACAGAGAGGAGATCCAACCAGTCCATCCTAAAAGATCAGTCCTGGGTGTTCATTGGAAGGACTGATGCTGAAGCTGAACTCCAGTACTTTGGACACCTCATGCAAAGAGTTGACTCATTGGAAAAGACCCTGATGCTGGGAGGGATTGGGGGCAGGAGGAGAAGGGGACGACAGAGGATGAGATGGCTGGATGGCATCATCGACTTGATGGACATGAGTTTGATTAAACTCCGGGAGTTGGTGATGGACAGGGAGGCCTGGTGTGCTGCGATTCATGGGGTCGCAAAGAGTTGGACATTACTGAGCCACTGAACTGAACTGAGACAGAAAGAAGTGTGTTTGGGGATCCAGGTGGTAGTGCCCTTTGATGACATGGCAATCTGTTTCTGAGCACAGGAGTAGGCGAATCTGGATAAGCAGCAAAATGAATTTTACATGTGTGTGACGAGAGGTGTGGAGGAGACTGACCTCTGTAGGCATGAGGTGTTTTGTTGAAAATTTGAGAGTAATTCATGAAATCAAAGGATAAGCAAGTCTCAGCAAGTCATCCATACTTTCTGTTTGCTACTTGGTCAGCCTTTAACAAGACAAGAAACTTGACCTACCCATCCGGTGTCTTTTAAAGTCACATATATTTTTATTCAAGTCACTTTTGCAGTTGAAGATTCAACAGTGATTGAGTCATCCACATAGTGGTGAAAGAGTGTAACTGGACTGAAAATCATCCACTTAAAGTTTTCATGCAGATGGTGCTGATGTTAAAGGTAGAATATGCCATTTATGAGAGGAGAAAACTACCCATACTTTTGCTGTTTGAGAATTGTGTTATAACTTCCTCATCCTTTGAGAATGATTTACATGGGGGAAAAACACTCTCCTTCCTGATGGATATGAATGAGGAAGGATGCAGCCCTAAGAAATGCTGAACCAATACACGGAAGCAGAACTGAGAGATCAGGAAACTTCATCCTGGTAACATTGTTTGATCTCTGTATTAGGCAGTTCCTAAGCTTATTCTGTCCCTGATTCTTCACATGTGTGAAGAATTCTTCACAGTAACATCTCCTTATCGTTTAAAACATCTCGGAATTGCATTTTCTCTTACAAAATGGAGAGTCCTAAAAGACATAGAAATTGTTAACAGGATGGGGGTTTGTGTGTAACTGATCCTAAAATTTGGATTTGGCTACATAGCAAAAGTAGCATGAAAGGAGTAATGACTGTCCTGGGCTGAGAAGGTGACAATCTTTGTTAGGTAGTAGCTGTCACCTCTGGTGCCTTGGGACTTAGACCATGTGCATACTAATATGGAGCATTAGGGAGCTGGCAGGGAGGGGAAAAATTCAGATGTTGCAACTTGCTTGTTTTCAGCCCTCAATAAGTTTCTAGAAAAAAAGGGACAGCATTAGGTTGTCAAGACCTTGATACTTCTCAAGGTTACAGGGCAGTTATTTTGTAGACTGTTCCTCAATCTGGGTGTACTTGATGTATCTTCATGATTAGGTTCAGTTTATTTGCCTTCTGAGAGTTAGCCAAGATGTGATGCTGTGTTTATCTCATTGCATCTTATCAGGTGGCATGTGTTACATGCATGCTAAGTTGTTTCAGTCATGTCCAACTCTTTGCGACCCTTTGGGCTATAGCCCACCAGGCTCCTCTGTCTATGGGATTCTCCAGGAGAGAATACTGGAGTGGGTTGCCATCTCCTTCTCCAGGAGATCTTCCTGACCCAGGGATCGAACCCGGGTCTCATATGTCTTCTGTGTTGGCAGGCAGGTTCTTTACCACTAGCGCCACCTGGAAAGTCCCCAGTAAGTATTATACTTATTTCATTTATTGCATGCATCCAGTTACAGGTGCAAATCTAGCTTTGCCTCAGTCTAAAGCCTTCTCGTTAAAAATGATCATCTCCTCATTTGGGTTTTCTGGGACTTCTCTGGTGGTCCAGTGGCTAAGACTGTGTTCCCAAAGCAGGGTGCCCAGGTCAGGAAATTATATCCCACATGCCTCAACAAGTTCGCTTGCCTTGACTGAAGATTCCAAGTGCCACAGCTAAAAGGTCCCACGTCCTGCAACTAAGACCCGGTGCAGCCAAATTTTTTAAAAAGTAAGAAAAAACTACTCACCTGGGTTTTCTGTCCTGTCAGTGATATTCAGCATAATATCAAGGGCAAGGTGGTATATCTTATGTCTGAGTAAACTTTACCTTTAAAAGGAAGATTTTTTTCTCCTACTTTTCTCTAAAATGGTTTTCCTTTCCAAAAAAAAGAAAATCATACCTATTTTTGTATTCTATCCAATTATTTTAAAGTACCAATGAAAGTGGGGAAACGCTTCAAATATAATGTTAATGGAAGAAGAAAACAGCATCCAAGACTGGATTCATAGTATCTCAGTTTGTAAAAGAAAACGTGGGTATGTTTGTTGTATATGCACACTGACAGAAAAAAAGATTGGTGATAAACCACAGCATTCACAGAAGTAATCTTTGGAATTGTTTTCCTTCTTATATTTCTTTATTCCTTCCTGTACTTTCCAAATATTCCACAAATAACATGTATTACTGTTTTTAAATACCTCATGAGGAGTGAGGTACTTAAAAGGTATTTTTCTCTTGTTGAAAAACTAATATACATTATTGTTCCTTGTCTTTTTGTTTTCTCATGAAACTTTTCCTGCATAACAAAATGACCACTCTTACCTCTCGTGTCCTCTGACAATCCCTGGAATGTTGCTTCCCAAACTTTCATGTTCCACTTTCTTCTTCTTCAACACCCTTTCTTTCCATGAAGTGTCCACTCACACTTCACTTGCCCATCATATACTGGTATTTCTCCTAAGCTCCAAACCCACACTCACCTACTGTATATCTCTTCTTGGATGCCTCACAGCGTTAAACGCAACACACCCCAAAGTGAAGTCATTCCTGGCTTCACTCCTCCCCTTGTCCCTGCCTGCCAGTCACACGTTCCTCCTGTCTGTTCCTTATCTCATTGAAAGGCACCACCAGCTGCCTTACTGTCTCTTCATTCCCCTCCCCTTTACATCTTGGTCAATCACCAATTTTTACACAAAGATTTCAGTTCTTCGTTATCACTTTAACATTCCTATTTTTCTTCATCCCAGCTACCACCACCATCTCTTACCTGAATTAGCAGGAGCCTGTCTCCTACCTGGTGTTCCTGACTCCAGTCAGTTTCCACTGCCACGTGCCCACCAGAGTGATCTTTATAAAATGAAAACAAAACTTTGTGGCACTCTCCCTCTTAAAATTCTTCACTGAATTCTTTTTTAAGTTAAAAATATTTACTTATTTGGCTGCACAGGATCTTCCTTGCAGCACTGTGAGATCTTTAGGGGCAGCATGTAAGCCCTTAGTTGCGGTAAACCTGGGCGCCCTGCATTGGGAGTGGGGAGTCTTTGCCACTGGACCACCAGGAAAGTCCCAAATTCTTCACTGAATTCTTTTTGTCTGTTTTGTGTTTTTGTAATTTCATGGGCTTTAGGATGGACAGGCTTCAGCAGTTGTGGTGTGAGGACTCAGTAGTTGCAGTTCCTGGGCTCTAAAACACAGGTTTAGTGATTGTGGCGCATGGGCTTACTTGCTCCTCGGAATGTGGGATCTCAAAGCCATGCCAAAGAATGTTCCAACTGCCTCACAGTCGCACTCATCTCACATGCTAGTAAAGCAATGCTCAAAATTCTCCAAGCTAGGCTTCAACAGTATGTGAATTGAGAACGTCCAGACATTCAAGCTGGATTTAGAAAAGACAGAGGAACAAGAGATCAAATTGCCAACACCTGCTGGATCATAGAAAAAGCAAGAGAATTCCAAAAAAAAATCTGCTTCATTGACTACACCAAAACCTTTCTTAACCACCTGAACTGCCTCCTGAGAAATCTGTATGCAGGTTAAGAAGTAACAGAACCAGACATGGAACAACAGACTGGTTCCAAATTGGGAAAGGAGTATGTCAAATCTGTATATTGTCACCCTGCTTATATAACTTCTATGCAGAGTACATCATGCGAAATGCAGGGCTGGACGAAGCACAACCTAGAATCAAGATTGCTGGGAGAAATATCAATAACCTCAGATACGCATATGACACCACCCACATGGCAGAAAGCGAAGAACTAAAGAGCCTCTTGATGAAAGTGAAAGAGGAGAGTGAAAAAGTTGGCTTAAAGCTCAACATGCAGAAAACTTAAGATCATGGCATCTGGTCCCATCACTTCATGGCAAATAGATGGGGAAACAATGGAAACAGTGAGAGACTTTACTTGGGGGGGCTCCAAAATCACTGCAGTGGTGACTCCAGCCATGAAATTAAAAGACACTCCTTGGAAGGAAAGTTATGACAAACCTAGACAGCATATTGAAAAGCAGAGACAATACTTTGCCAACAAAGGTCCATCTAGTCAAAGCTGTGGTTTTTCCAGTAGTCATGTATGGATGTGAGAGTTGGACTATAATGAAAGCTGAGCACCGAAGAATTGATGCTTTTGAACTATGGTGTTGGAGAAGACTCTTGAGAGTCCCTTGGACTGCAAGGATATCCAACCAGTCAATCCTAAAGGATATCAGTCCTGAACATTCATTGGAAGGACTGATGCTAAAGCTGAAGCTCCAATACTTTGGCCACCTGATGCGAAGAACTGACACCTTGGAAAAGACCCTGATGCTGGGAAAGATTGAAGGCGGAAGAAGGGGACAACAGAGGATGAGATGGTTGGCTGGCATCACCAATGCAATGGACATGAGTTTGAGTAGGCTCCAGCAGTTGGTGATGGACAGGGAAACCTGGCATGCTGCAGTCAATGGTGTCACAAAGAATCGGACACAACTGAGCGACTGAACTGAACTGATGACAATGTATGTGCGAGTCTGCACACTGAAAGCCAGTTGTCACTCAATACATACAGAATGAGTAAATAAATAAAGTTGGTAGGGTCTAAACTCAAGAGTGTGCAGTCTGACCCCAGAACCTCTACTCCTTACCTTTCACAGCAAACTGAGTATTTTTTGCTTCTAATATAAAAGTCTTATGTCTTTAAGTTTTACTATTTAATTTCCACAAAGGGCATAGGTCTTTTTAATAATAGCTTCCAAATGTCTGGAACTTCTAACATTTAGTGACAATAAAACTTGAATACTAAAATAATCTGTTTGGGATTTCCCTGGTGGTCCAGTGGTTATGACTTCAAGGGGGACCCTTCTAGAAAGAGCTCAGCTTCTTTAAAAAAAAAAAAGGTAAGAATGTGGGAGAAATGAGTATGATGTGATATTAAGTTAAAAATGTAGAAAAGTCCATGCTAATTGTATGTCTGGCTACAGTGGTGTTTATCTGAAGAGGCAGAGTTTTCTGAAAATGAATCCCTTTATTTTCGAAAACGTCAGCTTTTCCCCTCTCTGCTGAAAGTGAACTGTATTAGAACCACGGGAGGGTAGTCAGGACCATTCCTGAGTTCTCCAGCACAGAGAAGAAATGGATTCACCCCACAGGGGTTAAGTCCCCCAAGAGACGGACCGCCCACCTCGTGCATTCAGGGCATGCAGATGTGCAGTGCCCGGTTTCAGTTTACAGCTTGCTGACTATATTCTTGGCTTGTGAAAACTGACACTAGTGCCAGGCTTGGTAATGACACTGTCACAGATCCACCTGGAGACTATCTATATGGAGGGGGTTATTTCCCCAGAGGCCACTTCTCTAGAGAGTGCATTTGAAGCACATGTTCAAACTGAACTGTAAACATAATCTTAACTGTTAAATGGCAGCCCTAGGGACAAACCAGGAGCCAGCTGTTTGTGGAAGCCTTACTCTATTCACAACTAGCTATGAAGATCTTGGAGATAATCAGGAAAATCTCTCTCCCTGAACACAGATTCTCCCAGTTTACTTGTTCCTATAACCAAATTGGGTGAGATTTGGGGATAAAGAAAAAACCAAGGAGCTTTTCAAGTTGAGTAAGCTTCTGTCATACACTAAATGTTTTTTTTAAGTAAATATTACTTCAATTTCACAAGTAATATACTGATTTCATGTATGTGTGTGTACACATAAATATATATATACACACACATATATATATGGCATTTTAAGAGGTTTCTTCTCATACCATGCATCAACAAAGCGTCTTAGTGAAATTGGTAGTATTTGTGCCACATCTGGACAAACGGGATTCCAAATCCTCAGTTTCATAAGGATTCAGAGAAAACTACCAAGAAAGATAAAAATTCTGGGTTGGGACACTATCTTTTTGAAGAATTTCTTAAAATGATATTGAACTCTTTGATATTCTACATGCATAGCATTCTGACAAATCAGTGCATACTCACCCTGTCCTTTAAGTTAATTAAATAATGTCTTCCTGCCTGACAAAAAAATGAGAGGGGTACTATCAGATTCAGTAGGTGGATAGAAATTAATTAAATTTAATAAAACTTTCTAACTGCTAAAGCCTGTTGAGTAGTTAGCTTTCTTTCTTCCTGACAATCTGTATACACAGAAAAATACTTCCAGACTCTCCAGTTTTGTTTTTTGACCTGTCTTATGTAACTTTAGGTATATGAATTTCCAGGTGTTAAAGAAACCTCAAACCCCAAGACACATCACGGCTCTACATACAAAAGTCATTATCTTAACCTAGTGTTTTTCCTCTTAAATTGTCAGGAGGGAAAACCTGAAGTCTATAGTTAGAATTTTATAAACCGCTAGACTGCCTATCCGATATGTCACTTTTGCAGAAAATCAGGAGAGAAATTGATAACATGAAGCAACGTTTAGACACGCACCTGATGGCCTTTTCCTAGATAAAACCCTAGAAAGAAGGTTTCTCCCAAATCCTAGATCTGGATTCACTTTTACTGCAAGCTACCCCCCACCCCCAAAGCCAAAATGTGTTTTAAGCCAGGGAAGAAACGCAAACTTTCAGTCGCTCGAGCAGAAATCAAAAAGATCACTAACAGGGAGCCGACTGGGGAGTCCCGTTCTGTCTTCCACCAACATACTAGTTCAGGCCCCTCCTCCGCTTAGCCCTTGAGCCTCGCGGGGTCCCCTAGGTAAACTCAGATGTCCCCTCTGACCCAGCTCCGCTTAAGGACACGTGTTCTTCCAGCCCAGTTCAGCCGCCTGGAGCCCCGCCCAGCTCGCGCTTCCCAGGCCCCGCCCGCCGCGTCGCCTGCCAATCGCTGCCCGAGGCGTAGCCAGGTCCCGCCCCTCGGGTCCCGGCCCGCCGCCTTTGTTCTCCCCAGCTCCCTCTCTCAGCCTGTGCGCTCCCGGCAAACCGAGTGGCAGCCGCTGATTGGAGGCCGCGGCACAGCCAATCAGAAGGGGGCACCTCACGTTAGCGCTCCGAGCTTTAAACGCGAGAGCCGCGGGGCGCGCGGAGGAGGTCCGGGAGGAGGTCCACGCGGAGGGTGGTGCCGTGGGGCTTGGACGCGCACCGCGGCGCTCGCGGCCCGCGCCCCAGATCGGACTGGGATTGGCCGGCCCGCGTCTTTCCCCGCCCCCCAGTTAATTGCCAGAGAGGTCTTCCGGAGGGGGGGGTTTAGTCCCTCTCCCTCGGCTCCTGGAGACCCGAGCCCGAGGTACGGGAGCGCCCAGCGGCCGCCGGTGCAAGGAGGCCGAGGTCAGCACCGCCGCGATGAGGCCCCGGAAAGCCTGGATGCTCGTCCTACTTCTGGCCCTGGCGCAGCTGCTGGCCGTGGCGAGCGCCGGGGGCCCGGACGAAGGTAAGCGGCGGCGGCGTCGGGCCGGGCCTGCGGGCCGCGCGCTCCGGGGTGGGGGCGCCGCGCGGATCAGGGACTTGCTGGAGTTGGAAGGCTGTAGCGAGAGGACAGGATCGCTTGGGAGACCCGGGAGAGGAGGGCAGCGAGGAGGCTGGGGCTGCCACCGAGGCTTGGACGCGGAGAGGGTATGAAGTGCCTTCTTTGCACGCTGGCTCCTTCGCCCTGATTCTGCTCCGATTTTCCTCGGGTCCAGGCAGACTGCCCACTCCTGGGAAGGGGAGCTTGGGAATTGGTTAAGCATTTGAGGCTCACATGCCCAAGGAGTGGGAAGGGAGAGGGGCCGCTGGTTTCAAAACAGGACGAGGGCGTGACGTCCCGAATGGGAGCCCTGGGGACAGCCGCGGGCAGCAATCGTTTTATGCCTGAAAAATGTGGTCTGTAGGTTTGGATAGAAGTAACTCGAGGGTTCTGGTTTGAGGGGGAAAGGGATGGCTTGGTTTGCGTCTTTTGGAAACCGGAGGTAGCATTCCTTCAGCAAGCATGTATTCAGCACCGACTGTATGTGCCAGTCACTGCCCCGGGTCCGGGAGTTAGGGCTCAGTCTGGCCTCTTCTCATAAAGCGCCGGCTCTGAGAGGAACATCCGCTGCTACCAGCCATCAGTCCTGCATTTTTCTTTGGAATCGGCTAGCTAAAAATAAGTGGTGTGTGAGAACTTTGAGAATTAGAAAACTTAAGTGAAGAGAAGACTGCTATTGCTAGAGAAGAGGACTGCACATTACTGGCCTTAACTCCTTCCTCTGGTCTTTCTCTGGATAGAGTTTTTTTCCTCTTGAGTTTGTTCCAGTATAAATAACCCCCCTTTTCTGATAGTGTGTAAGGGAAGTGCGAACTTTATACTCTTTCAGATTGAGTAACTTTTATGCAAGTCAGTGATTCAAGAGTCTTTGCCGACACAGAAAAGGAAGTTGAAAACCAGCGCTTGGCGAAAAGAACACCTGCGCACAGGAACCAGAGAGCAGTGTCACCTACAAGCGTGTCTTGGGACCTTTATCCAAATCCCCCGGGGCTTATTTAAATACGGAGTCCCCAAATATACCCAACCGGAAGAACGCAAGTCTGGGCCCTCAGGTCAGCATTTTAAACACATTTCATTGATTAGTGGGCAAAGTAACCTTTGGGGAGGCATGTTAATGTTTGAGGACCAGTGGAGGTGGATGGTAGTTTTTGGAACATACAGAGCAGAGTAGGTTTGTCTTGGTTCCGATCAGATGATTCTGTCTTGTGGGGAGCCTCAAGGGGCCTGGAAGAGTGGCAGATGTGGATGGACACCACTGGTATTAGGATGAGTGAGTCTGTCATTTGTCACAGGCCACTAATGCACTGGAGACCCTGGGAGGCAGTTGCCTCTAGGGTGAGCCTGGAGATCATTGTGGTCAACTGGTTGGAGTGGGGCTTCTAGTGGTTACCTTGACTCTTTCCCATCCTTTGCCCTTCACATTTAGTTTCTGTCACAGGTAACTCCTCCTGTGGATTTTATTTGGGGACCACACTTCCCTTTACCCCAGATGGTCCCAGTCTTGAGGGGTTCCCCCCGCTCTTTTTTGCTTCCTGTGCATTTTATCTATTTTTGCTGCACTCCCCTTGCAGGATCTTAGTTCTCCAGCCAGTGCCCCCTGCAGTGGAAGCTTTGAATCTTAACCACTGGACCACCAGGGAATTCCCGCCTCTTGTGCATGTCAGACTCATACAGCCCAGTGGTGTCTGGGCCCATCAGTGCCCCCCAAGGACGGTTACTAAATACAACTTAAGCTCTGATGGGTGAGCCTCCGGTTGTCAGGCCTCTCACTTGTTCTCACATCTTGCCAACCAGAAGAGTATAAAGGAGATATTTTGATGCAGGTCATTGCCTCTTTCACTTCTGGGAAGTAATTATCAAACGAGGTTAAAAAAACTTAGGGCATCTTGGGAAGAAAGTCTGATGGGCCAGCACGGCGTAGCAGCTGAGTGGTCAGGACCCTCCCCTCAGTAGCCTTGTGCTCCTGGGCAGGTGACTGAAACTCTGTTTCTTGGTTGGTGAAGGGCATGTAGTGTGTTTCCCCCCGGGGGCCGAGACAGTTGTATAAGTGCTCAGCACAGTGCCTGGCCCATGAAACACGATCAGCTAGATGATGTTATTCCTGAGTCTGTTGTTACGCCGGCTGAGGATGCAGGTGAGGAGGTGCTGGAAGGAGCGGCATGTGTCTAGGCTGGGCGCGATCCGGCATTGTCAGGTGCACTGCTGGCAGTGGGCTGGGGTTGCAGTGACCTAGTTAGGAGGAGCCCGCATTTCAGGAGTGGCCTTGGTGGATGGGCCCAGCAGCGTGCAGAGATGATGCCGGAAACCCACTGAGGAGGGGCGCTCAGAGGAGGATGGCGCCCTTCCAGAAGGGGCCGGGAGGCTTTGGATATATATTTCTGTCCTAGAGTGTCCAGCTTTAACAGTGTAGCCCAGTAAGAGGTGGTTTCCCCATTAAACTGTGAGATATCTTCCTTGTCGGGATGTGGGGGGTGGGGGGTTTAGTCCGGGGAATACAGAGCCAGCACCCTCTTCAGATGCAGAGGAGTCAACACTGGGAGTTGTCGGCAACTTGGGGAGCAGTGGAAGGTGGGGGCCGTGCTCCTTCATTACATAGGGAACGTTCTGTCATTTTGTCTGTCCTTAAAAATGCAGAATGAAAATCCATTCTTAAAAAAGTTTCGATAAAGGATTTCCCTATTAGGAGCTCTGTCGCAGGATAACTCATGGTCCCCATTTAATCGTGAGCGCCCCATCGCTGTAGTGCTGCAGACCACTTCGGCCTGGGGCTGGGTCGGAAACCTCTTTGCTTTTCCTTTTTGTAAAATTCGCCTTATCTCTGTGCACTGAACTGGCAGCCGAGTCCCTCTTCCTCCCCAAGCTGTTACCTCACTTGAAGAGAGGATTAAGTTCTTCTGAGCTTTCTTTCCAGCCTTCCTCCAGTCTTTCCATCTGCCTGCAAATAAGCTTGATTCTCAGGCTGAGCTGAGCGCCCTGGCAGCTGCACTGCCCTGGGGCCTGCCTCACTGCCCGCAGCAGCTCCCAGATCTGGGGCAAGGCATGTATTGCCTCCTGGGCCCCCTGCCGGAGCAGAGAACCTAGCACAGCACCCCCGCATTGAGCCCCTGGGTTTGCGGTCCCCATGCGGGTGGTTTCAGGTGGGACTTTCAAGTGAGGGGCCGTCAGACCAGCCTTTTGGAGAGGCGCTGTTAGGGTTCCCCAGGCCAGCAGAAGTCAGCTGGTGCTTGCCTTGCCTGCTTGCTGCGGGCAGTGTTCCTAGAAGTATAGGAGCCCGGAGCCAGCCGGTGTAAACCCGGAGGTTCTCAAGGGCATCAGGTCCTTAGATTTCCCTGCGACTTCACTGGCGGTCCTGTCGTTAACACTCCGAGCTCCTGATGCAGAGGCTGCAGGTCCTATCTCTGGCTAGGGAACTAAGATCCCAAATGCTCACCACGTGGCCAAAAATATATATATAAATAAATTTAAAGGACAAAAAAAAAAAGAGCTTAGGCCACCAGCCTGGGAGGTGGGGATGGGTTGAGTCCGGTTGTCTTCCTTTGGATCCTGCCCCTTCCACATCCAGGGAGCCTGGTTCTCATCACCCTCCCCAAGGCTCCTGCTGACAGTGCTGGGGGCCTGGGGCTTCTGCAGGCCTGTCCAGCACGCAGGGTCCCCACTGTGGAGGAGGGAGGTGGTGAGGTGGCTGGAGACGTGGGCATGCTGATGGGCTTGGGGAGGGCGGGAAGAAAACTGGGAGCGGGGGAAGCAGCCTGGCCCAGGATACACAGGTGCCTTCTCAAGTTGGTGGCATTTCTGTTTGGATTTTAGAGCTGTTTTCTCCAGCCCCCACAGTGGAGGACAGGGGCTTTTGAAAGGAAGAAGCGGTGTGTGTTCAAAGGGACAAGTGTGGAGGGAAGTGGGGCTCGGAGGGCGGGGTGGGTTTTCAGCTTGCTTTTGGTAATTAGTGTACAGGTCGGTAGATCTTGATGATAACAAGCAAAGCTGCCGCCCTGCCCAGAGCAGCCCCTGGCTTGCCTGAGCAGCTGCAGAGGCAGCAGTGGGCCTGGTTGGGGGGGATAAGGAGTGGGTGCTGAGATAGGGCATGTCCCAAGGGGCTCCTGGGTCCCCAGGCAGGTTCTCAAGCCCTAACATCAGCCCCGCTATCAGTGTTGGTTTGTCTCCCGGGAAGCATCTCCAAAAAGAAATAATGGGCCTCTTGAAACATTCTGCCTTTGGAGTTGATGAAATCGTGCTGCTGGCATTTCTGTTTGCTGACGTGGAAGCTGCTGGGAACCTGGGTAACGAGAGCTGCCGTTCAGGATTTCTGTACCTGTAGTTCAGCAAATTCTGCTGAACCTTGATGATAAGATGTGCTTATGTTCTTGTGTTCTGGGAAAGAGAACTTTGCTTCCAGGCGTCCCACAAAAGTATGAACAGGAAACAAGTGCGGTTCCCAGCTTTTCATTATGGATGATGGACTCCTGATCAATCTTGGATTAGGAGATACACATAAAAAATACCCAACAGGTGTTCTAATCCTTCAGGGAAAGGTTGATGTGTGGAGGAGGGAGGTGGGGAATCATGTTTTACTTACAAAGTCAGCCCGAGTAACCTCCAGGGTGAAAGAGTTGAGAACCAGGACTCGTTTCCTGTTTGTACTGATTTGGGGGGCCAGGCAGTCATCTGTGGGGGCGGGGGTGGGAGGTTGGAGGCAGTCCTTCCTACCTGTGGAAAGCAGAGAGGGTGAGGAAGGGGAACATGTCTGTGGAAGTTAGCCTGGCCCTTGAGCATGGACATGGGGAACCCACAAAGGGAGGAGCCTGAACACACAGCTTGGATGTGGGTGAGGAGCCTTGTGGGGTGGATCAGACCTGTGTACCGGGGAGGAGGGTTCTCTGTCCTGGGCTTGCGGAGCCAGGCCAGTCCAGTTCAGTTCAGTTCAGTCGCTCAGTCATTTCCGACTCTTTGCGACCCCATAGACTGCAGCACGCCAGGCCTCCCTGTCCATCACCACCTCCCGGAGTTTACTCAAACTCATGTCCGTTCAGTCAGTGATGCCATCCAGCCATCTCATCCTCTGTCGTCCCCTTCACCTCCCACCTTCAATCTTTCCCAGCATCAGGGTCTTTTCCAATGAGTCAGCTCTTTGTATCAGGTGGCCAAAGTATTGGAGTTTCAGCTTCAATATCAAGGCCAGTCTCACCCCCCACCCCCAAGTCCTGCTGCAGTGTTTAGACTAAATCTAGACCTGGAGTTAGTTTTCAGCCACCTTTTAGCCATCACCTCCCTTTAAGTGAAATCTGAAGTGCCCACCGCACATGCAGATGCACGGGCTCCGGGAGGCCCGCAGTCACCGCCTCTCATGGCGCTGGCCCTCAGGGTCTATTCAGGACTCGGGACCACTTGGAGGGTGTGGGGTCCTAGGAAGGCTTTTGAGGAGGAAGGTCGTCCGTTTTCTAACCCGCCTGGGCATTTTCTGCACAGATTCTTCCGACAAAGAGGATGCCGTCGAGGAGGATGATGAGGAGGACGAGGACGACGATGATGACGACGACGACGATGACTTGGAAGTTAAGGAGGAAAACGGCGTCTTGATCCTAAACGATGCAAACTTCGATAACTTTGTGGCTGACAAAGACACAGTACTGCTGGAGTTCTACGCTCCGTGGTGAGGACCCGCGCCCCGCCTCCGGCAGCTCGTCCCGCCTCAGTTCAGATCCCGTTGGTTAAAAATGTGAACGCGTCCTCTGCTAGTTACAGCTGCGGGGAGCTGTGATGACACAGACCTGCGGGGGTGACAGACGCGTCCCCTGGTGCAGGTTCGACCCCACTGCTTCCTCCTGCCTGGAGCCAGGTGGCTGCCCAGCTGCACACTGGACCCTATGGGGACTGGCCCCCCTTTTCCCATCTTTCACCCTCGCGGTACAGCTCGTCATGACTCTTGGGCTCCTTCTCCCACCTCTCTTGTGCTGTTTTTCCGTCTGATAATCCTGTCTTCACTTTCTCCTGCCCTTCTTGGCCCATTTTGACTTGATGAACATAATGTTGTTTGCTCAGCATAGTATGAGATGCTACCTATAAAGTAAACAGTCCTTAGGGCAGACCTGTGAGTCATGTCATTCCTGGGGTATAGATCAGCTGTTCTCAAGCATTTTGGTCTCAGGACCCCTTAACCCCTTAAATATTGAGGACCTCAGCTAGCTTGTTACGTGGGTCGTGTTTATCAGTAGTTACCATGTTGGAAATTAAAACAGAGAAATGAAAAAAAATCATTTCTAAGTGGCAGTAACCCCTTTACTCGTTAGCATCAGAATGCTGACATCACTGTTGGTTCTGTAGCCTCTGGAAAACCCCGCGAGAGTGGAAGAGGCAGCATCTTCCAGGGAGAGTTTTCTCTTCACACTGGGGTGTGGAGATTTTGAAAGTACCTGCCCTCAGCGAAGCTGGGATTCACCCTTGGTCTGTTTGACTTCCTGCTGTCTCAGCCTTCCCTGTTTCGCGTTTCTCGCTAACCGCAAACATCGCTGGGTTCCAGTGCCCCAGTTTCTGTGCTACAGCTGGATTTACGCCTCCTTGGGCACAGTTAACCTGCTCCATCCCGAACCCTCATTCTTAGGTGTGGGCACTGCAAACAGTTTGCTCCAGAATATGAAAAAATCGCCACCACCTTGAAGGAGAACGACCCTCCCATCCCTGTCGCCAAGATCGACGCGACCTCAGAGTCGGCGCTGGCCAGCAGGTTTGATGTGAGCGGCTACCCCACCATCAAGATCCTGAAGAAGGGGCAGGCGGTCGACTACGAGGGCTCCAGGACCCAGGAAGGTGAGGGCCTTGAGCCGCCAGAGGAAGTAGGGGGCCGGGGCTCCCTTCCCCAGGAAGGGAGAGGGGAGGGCAATTTGGATAACAGAGAGGAAGCCCAGCCCACTGGGCTGGCAACAATACCTGCTGGAATGTCCTCGGCGACTCTGATCAGAATAAACTTGTCCTCGAAGAGAAGGGGGTACACTTGACAGCCGTGAAATTTAAGATCTAGAGCCGCTGTGTTAAAGGCCATGGGTCTCACTAGTGTCCTGGACCAATGTCTAGCTGGGCCTGACTCCCAGGGTGCGGGGTGGGGGACTCGCTGAGACAGACTGCCGAGCCCTCGCTCAGAGCTTTTGATTCAGTGAGCTGCAGGTCCATTTCTCGTGAGCGCCCAGGGCTGGCCAAGCCCACGGGTCCAGAGCTCACAGAACCACTGGCATTTCTAAAACCAGGTGCACGGAGCCAGATGGCATTTCTAAAACCAGACCTGTTGGACCTCTACCTGGCTTGCATCAGGCACTACATCGGTTTAATTAAATGAATGGAAAGATAACACTGTGGTAGCCTTCAGCATTTTGAAGGCTAAAAAAAAAAGATTGCTTTCTGCTGCATTTTCCGCTACCAGTGTGGCACAGTGGGCATGTCGCTGCATAGGTTTGGGGTCTTTCTTGCCATCGCACAGCCCTGTGTCCCCCACAAGGGCCCCCCTGGCTGGGCCTTGGGCTCCTCATCAGAGCATGAGTCACGTGGACTTGATCTCAAGGTTCCCTTCGAGCCATTCAGGAGTCTGACCTGTGCAGGCATGTGTGTGTTGGGAGGGTCTGCCCTCGACACCTCACAGCTAGAAACGTGACCCACTTTGGCATCTTGAGGGCAGTGTGTGCCTCAGCGGGCTCCCTGGGCGCCAGACCTCCCATGTGTCTTCAGAAGGGGGGCTCCCCCGAGTGGAGGCCCCCCTCTCCCGGGCCTTGGTCTGCCTGAACCGGGAGGCACTGCTGTTCGCGCTCCAGTCTGAAAGCTCGTGCTTTGCGGGAGTGGTTCTCGGACCTGGCTCCTTGGCACAGATTCTAGGGCCACAAAAGGAGAGAAGCAGTGGGCAGCCGCCGCTTCTGAGAACCACTTGGGAAGTGCTTTGTGAGCATATACCTCGTGTCCCCTGCCCGGCATCTCCGGGCATCTAGGCCACAAGCGGGACTTTTTACAACCGCTTTGCAGGCGATGCTGGTGCAGCATGGGTGGCGTAGGAGCTACTGCTCCTCCCATTTTTCTCGACTTTTGTTACATTTTATGCCGTGTGTAACGTGCCAGTGCTCCATGTGCGTGTCTAAACACAGATGTATTTATATGCCTTTAGCAGAATGCCCCCAAAACTATTACTAGGCATATGCAGTTGAACACTGGGAGGTGACTTCTCGGGGTGCGCTTAACAGTCTCATTCATCAGGCTGGGCTAGACTGCCTCAAGCAGTGTGCATGGCAGTGGATGTGTGGTTGTTGGAAACCATGAACCTTCAGGCTCTTCACTGTGGCCCCCAAACTGCGGAGGGGCCCTGGCTATAGATGGGCTTTGTTGTTCAGTCACTCAGTTGTGTCCGCCTTTTTGCGACCCCATGAATCACAGCACACCAGGCCTCCCTGTCCATCACCAACTCCCGGAGTTTACTCAAACTCATGTCCATTGAGTCAGTGATGCCATCCAACCATCTCATCCTCTGTCGTCCCCTTCTCCTCCTGCCTTCAATCTTTTCCAGTATCAGGGTCTTTTCCAATGAGTTGGCTCTTCACATCAGGTGGCCAAAGTATTGGAGCTTCGGCATCATCCCTTCCAATGACTATTCAGGACTGATTTCCTTTAGGATTGACTGGTTTGATCTCCTGGAAGTAGATGGGCTTGGATTTCAGGAAATCAAACGTGTCCTGTTCTGTGACCCCATGTTCTCTCTTCCCCCCGCCTCCCCACCTGTCCCTGGAGCCAGGGGCCTTCACGTGCTCAGTCTTGTGTGGTTTCTTCCAGAAATTGTGGCCAAGGTCAAAGAGGTCTCCCAGCCCAACTGGACGCCTCCACCAGAAGTCACGCTCGTGCTGACCAAGGACAACTTCGATGAGGTGGTGAATGATGCTGACATCATGCTGGTGGAGTTTTATGCTCCCTGGTAAGGTGGTGTCCGTCTCCTGTGACCAGAAACTGGTCAGGCCCATCCTGTACCCGCTGCCACACGGGCCAGGGGCAACAGAAGACAGACCCTTGCACGTGAGGCAGAGCCAGCCGAGGAGCAGGCTGGTGCCAAGTGCCCACTGTGCAGCGGGTGAAGTGGGCTCGGCTGGGAGGGGTGGTTTTACAGAGTCTTTGCTGGGGAATAGGATGAGGTCGAAACTCCCCCCGAGCTGTCCAGCCAAGAGAAGTGTCATAGCCTTTCCCATTGCATACCCCACGTCAGGCTTCCACGCTGTCTTCCTGGGGGCATCTCTGGCTTGGTGGATCTCTCCAGGTCACCTGGGAATGCAGACTAGATGTGTGCACTTCCCGTAGCTGGGAGGCTGCGTCCACCCTGGAACAGGCTCCTGACAGCCGCTCACTCTCGCAGGTGTGGACACTGCAAGAAACTGGCCCCCGAGTATGAAAAGGCTGCCAAGGAGCTGAGTAAGCGCTCTCCCCCGATCCCCCTGGCGAAGGTCGACGCCATAGCGGAGACAGACCTCGCCAAGAGGTTCGACGTCTCCGGCTACCCGACCCTGAAGATCTTCCGCAAGGGGAAGGCTTTCGATTACAACGGCCCACGGGAAAAATACGGTAGGGCCGCCGCCGCCTCTGGGCCCGGTGGGGGCAGCTCCCAGTGCCTCCGAAGCCCCAAGCCCCGCTCAGGCGTGTGCTCTGCTCCCAGGGATCGTCGACTACATGATCGAGCAGTCCGGGCCGCCCTCCAAGCAGATCCTGGCCCTCAGACAGGTCCAGGAGTTCCTGAAGGATGGAGACGACGTCATCGTCATTGGGGTCTTTAAGTCGGAGAGCGACCCGGCCTACCAGCTGTACCAGGACGCAGGTGAGAAGGGGTCTCAGGCCAGCAGGTACCCGCCCAGGCCTTCTGGGGTTGCTGCTGTTGTGTAAGACCCCTGGGCGTCGATTTAGGGCCCAGGGAAGAATCGAGATTGCATGTGTGGAAGCGGGCTTTCCTTTCTGGGGTTGGGGATCGGTTCTCTGTTGCCTGAACTGCACATGAGTGATAGGATCTCTCCGGAAACAGATGAGAAGGCTCTGTGGTGTCCCTTCTGCGTCTGAGAGGAGGGGAGGGGCCCAGTCAAGTTCATCCAAGGTCATTACCTCCCTCCCTCTTCTGCCAGGGCCCCTTCCCAGAGCCAGCCCCGCTGCCGGGGGAGGGTCTTGACCAGAAAGCGAGGGTTTCTGCGTCAGACGTGGTGTGGAGTCCCAGTTCTGTCAGTGGTTAGCTGCCCCAAGTGGCAGTGAATCGGTCAACCTGGAGATCTCACAGCCAGCAGGAAGACCTGCTCTATGTGGAAGATGGTTACATTAGTGGAGATACAGTGGCGGAAGTGCTGAACCAAGTGCCCGGTGATACGAAGTTATCACCAGTACCTCAGCAGTGTCCCATGGGGGCCCTTGCCACCCTGGATGGCCCCTGGGTGATGAACCAGACGGTCTTTGGGGGACAGTCAGGCTCCTGGTCTCCCCAGCTCCTCCTCAGTGCCCTGGACCTCTCACCCCATCACACACACCACAGAAGTTCGGTTTTCTTGGAAGTCGTAATTACGATCCATTAATGCCCTGCCTGCCACCTGGTGCTGACGTCTGTGCCACACGGTCCCAGCTGTGCGTGTCAGTTGCAGAGGGACGTTGTCACAGTTACAGTGGAGCTGAAGTCCATTCGTGCTTCCTCAGTCTTCACTGATTCAGGAACCGTGTCATCCAACTGTGCTGAAAACTCGCAGAGGGGGTCTCCTAGTCCACCCAGGGCCACAGGCAGCCACGGACCCTCCAGCCCTCACCATCTGGGTGCCTAAAGATTCCCAGGGATCTTGTCAAAATGCAGGTTCTGGCACTCAGGGCTGGGGGGCCCTGGTGCTGCCCATCCAGCTGCCGCACATCCAGTCTGACACCTGTGACCCCTCGTGGCCAGGCGGGTTAGGCTCAGGCAGGGATGACAGTCACGGGGCCTGGTGCGTGGACTTTGGGGAAGGAACTGAGACAGCCCCAGGGGCACAGGGCTGACGGGGGCGGGAGCAGAGGGGGTCCTGGCAGGAAGACAGGGTCTGTGAGCCAGGGGGCTGGGCGGGAAGCTCTTGAGGTGACGCTGTCTCCTCCATGGCCACTTGATCACAGATACCCACGTGTCTGGCGGCTTAGAACAGGTGCGAGACTGACCTGCAACACCCCTCTGGGTGGCTGTTTGATTTTTACGATGGTCTGAGAGCTCCCTGACCTGTTTCTACAGGAGGGACTGGGGCTCAGGGTGGTGAGTAGCTAGCTGGCAGGCCTGAAGTCACACAGCTGGCAGCTCGAAAATTGTGATTTGAGCCCAAGTCTGTCTGTGAGCTCGTCCAGGCTGCCCCCTGCCTCCCCTGTGCCCTCAGCCCTGTTCCTGTAACCCAGTCACAGGCCTGTCCTCCTGGGACCACAGACTCCACTCAGCGTGGGTCCAGATACCTCGTCAAGGACAAAACGGGGCCTGAGGTGGTGCCCTGTGGGGTCCAGGGCAGGGGTTGACAGGCTGGCCCACGGGCTGAACCTGGTCCTCACCTGGTTCTGCAGGTTCCCTGGTGACAGAGCACGCTGGCTAGTTGGCACATTAATCAGTGCAGAGCTGACTTGTCAAGACCGTGGTGTCCACGAAGCTGAGCCAGTTCCTCTCTGGTCCTTTCTAGGAACGTTTGCCAGCCCCCATTGTAGAATATCAGCAGGGTTGCATTTGGGAGTTTCCTGAGATTTAAATACACATATGTAGGGCTTCCTAGGTGGCGCATTGGTAAAGAATGTGTCTTCCAATACTGGGGACTCGAGACACAGGTTTGATCCTTGAGTCAGCAAGATCCCCTGGAGGAGGAAGTGGTCCCCCACACCAGTATTCTAGCCTGAAAAGTTCCATGGACAGAGGAGCCTGACAGGCTACAGTCCATGGGGTCACAGATAGCCAGACACAACCGAGTACAGCGCAGCACATACGTAGAACAGAAGAACTGCAGCCCCAACAGGCCACTCGGGAAGTGAGCCCCTGTGCAGACGGAGGGTTCTCCTGCCAGACACAGGAGGGTCTGGCTGGCAGTCTGGGTTAATGTGCTTCTTGACATCAGACCACAGTCAGTCTGAGAGATGAAGTTTTTCTGTGAAGGTTCCAATTGTTTATATTTTTATTTATTTTTTCCTTTTTTTTTCAGATTTATTTTTAAAATAAATTCAGAGATACATAGATTTTAAGGTATTACATCTATACCAGGTTTTTAAATTCAGACTTCTTCCAAGTGTCTAAGCTCTGGATATTGTCCACACAGCGTTCGTGGTTAATTACACCATTTTCTGGGCATTTGCTTTGGCTGATGTGGGTAGAGTAGAATTTAAATCATTGAAGCGGTTTCATACATTGTGTATTATTTATTGTTCTGTCAATTCTTCAGCTAACAGCCTGAGAGAGGATTACAAATTCCACCACACTTTCAGCACCGAAATAGCAAAGTTCTTGAAAGTCTCCCCGGGGAAGTTGGTCGTCATGCAGCCTGAGAAATTCCAGTCCAAATACGAGCCCAAGAGCTATGTGATGGACATCAAGGTGGGTGAGGGGTGCCAGCCCTGGGGCGTCCAATTGTCCTGAAGGTCGCTCAGTTAGGTCAGAGTTCACAGGAGGGGCAGTGGTGGTGGGGGGCGTCTTCACATGTCCGGTGGGTCGTGGGGCCAAGGCCCTGGCACAGCTCCACCTGCTTCTGCAGGAGGGTGGCCCACTCCCCATACCTTGTGATGGGCCAGCTCACTCGGAGAGAAGCCCCACTAGCCGGCACGCGGCTTGGGTGCTGAGGGCTACGGAGCGCTGACAGGCCTCTGTTCACTGGGTGGAGCTGTAGGCCATGCACTGTGGACCTGGCCTTTCCTTCCTCCTCGGGGCCCCCTGCTCTCGGTCTCCCTGAAGAGGTGACATTCATCTCAGGAAGGATGGAGGGTGAGCCCGGGTCCCGCTTCGTGTTCCAAGTGCTTCCCAGGGTCCCCGAGCGCCACAGAACAGATACTCACATTTGGAGGACACTTTGCCCTGATAGCTCAGTTGGTAAAGAATTCGCCTGCAATGCGGGAGACCTGGGTTCAGTTTCTGGGTTGGGAAGATCCCTTGGAGAAGGGAAAGGCTACCGACTCTAGTATTCTGGCCTGGAGAATACCCGAAGTCCATGGGGTCGCAAGGAGTCGGACATGACTGAGCGACTTTGACTTTACATCTTGAATCCAGATGTTTGATTTGACAGAAAGAGACTGGGGTGCAGAGAAGTGAGCTAACACCTAGAGGGTCCCACAGCAGGTTAGGAGCAGACTAAGGGGAAAGGCACGTGTGCTCTGTCCCCAGCCAGGACATAGGGGAGTGGTCTCATCACACCCCCGCCCCTCCCCCTCACCCCTCTGGCTTCTTTTCTGTTATCCAGAGATACTGACCCTGGCTCCACAGAGGGGCCCTGGTGAACTTGGGATCTGGGGACCATGGGGACCAGACACAGTTCTGTGTGGTGTCTGTGTCTGTCCCCAGGAAAAGGATCTATCTGAGGCTTTCAGTAGATTTCTCGAAGGGGCCCTTGACCCTGAAGGGCTGAGATCCACAGTCTGTTAAACACATCACTGCTGCTTTGCTCTTTTTGCTTCTGCCCGATCTTACAGTCAGCATTTTTTTTTCAATGGATTGGTATCATTTATATACCAATTTTGTCCCCAGAATTATTTAATGGCTGCTTTGTAAGAAATTTACATAACAGATAACATGCAGTTAAAAAAAAAATGGATCTAGGAGTTAGGACAAAGGGAAGATATGGGCAAGACGGATAAGATGAAGCCAGGTGTAAAGTCAGCACACGCAGGCTGGTGGTGAAAAGACAGTCTATTTGCTGCAGACGTGAGTGAGGAGGGCTCAGGCATTGAGTTCCGATTTGGGCCCCTGGGTGCTGAGTGCTCCGCTCTGGAGCACATACATCCTGGGTACCCCTGGAGTTCGCCTTCTCTGCGACAGGCGGTCCAGGGCCGTCCTGATGCAAGAGGGCCCCGCTGCCCGCTGTGTCTTGTCCCTGCTGCCTCCCCGAGCTGGCCAGTCCTGCCACTTTTCAGTGCCAGCTGGGGCTACCTCCCTGACCGTCCATCCAGATGGGACTCAGGTTCTAGGGGGGAGAGGTGTTATCCACCACTTCTCCTGCCAAGCAGATGGCCTCACCCCGCTGGGCCTCAGGTTCCTCATCTGTGGTGCAGCTGTCTGCTCCACGCTCCTCCCCAGGCCCCCCCGGGCTTTTTGTCACCAGTGGTCTGGGGTGGGCTTTCTGCAGGCAGAGCCCAGAGCCCCAGCAGCCACTTTGATCATCTCATCCTGTAGTGTCCCGACAGGCTACTGTGGGGATCAGCCAGAGGAACATGAGACCTTGTACCCAGTTCAGCTCACCTTTGCGCCTCTGTCATCCAGGAGCCAGGTCTCCCCAGCAGATCCGGACTGACCTGGTCAGCCAGCCCTGACCCAGAGGGAAGGGCGCCCTGGCTGCCTGAGAGGCTCTCTTGAGGTTCACTGGGGGAGTAGGGCCCAGGGCCCCTGTGACATCCCTAGTGAAGTCGCTCAGTCCTGTCCGCCTCTTTGCAACCCCATGGACTGTAGCCCGCCAGGCTCCTCTGTCCATGGGATTCTCCAGGCAAGAACACTGGAGTGGGTTGCCATGCCCTCCTCCAGGGGATCTTCCCAGCCCAGGGATCGAACCCGGGTCTCCAGCAGTGCAGGTAGACCTTGTACCCTCTGAGCCACCAGGGAAGCCCCATGACGTCACTAGGGGCAGACGTTTCCCCCGGGCCGGCAGCAGACAGCTGCACCTCACCTGCCCCACTTCTCGCAGGACTCCACGGAGGCCGCGGCCATCGCGGAGCACGTGGTGAAGCACACGCTGCCCCTGGTCGGCCACCGCAAGGCTGCCAACGACGCCAAGCGCTATGCGCGGCGCCCCCTGGTGGTCGTCTACTACGGCGTGGACTTCAGCTTTGACTACCGCGCGGGTGAGCCCCGGGCTGGGGGGTGCGGGTAACGGCGGCCTCGGGGGTCCTCCTCCTCCTCCTCCTGGGGGAGTCGCCACCCACTACCCTCCCCGCTTGAGTAGGGGGCGGCTGGGAGTCCCGGGGGCCCTCCTCGAGCTGCGGGGACGATCGGGCGGGACCAGCCCCCTGAGCCCAAGCCCTCGGTCCCCCCTCAGCCACTCAGTTCTGGCGGAACAAGGTCCTGGAGGTGGCCAAGGACTTCCCCGAGTACACCTTCGCCGTGGCCGACGAGGAGGACTTCGCCACGGAGGTGAAGGACCTGGGGCTGAGCGAGAGCGGGGAGGAGGTGAACGCGGCCGTCCTGGACGAGGGCGGCCGCAGATTCGCCATGGAGCCCGACGACTTCGACGCCGACGCCCTGCGCGACTTCGTCACCGCCTTCAAGAAAGGTGGGCCAGCACCCCAGCCACCCACACCCGCACCCCGGCTCCTGCAGCCCCTGCCGGCTCGTCTCTGGGACCCGGCCTGGGCTTCCTCCTGGACCTGAGGGTGTGGAGCATGGGAACGGAGAATCCCTGTTGGTTTGCTTGCTCTCCTCTCTCCTTTCTTTGTCATAGAAAGAGGCAGGTGTCTTAGAAATCGCAAAAAACTTTAAGAATTAAAGTGCAACAGACAAGTTTCGTGTATGTGGGAAACTTGCTTTGGCATCCAGTGCAGTTTTTCTGATCTGATTAAGCACGTGGCTCAGGGTCCCCGTTGCCCCTTTCGGTGGGCAGTCCTCCCTCCCATCCTGCCTGCTCCGTCTGCTGCCCACCGTGGCTTCCGGCCTGCCACCTTCTTAATGACCCCTCTGTACTGGCAGCCTCTTGGGACAGCCTCTCTGAAGAGGATCGTGTCTGCTAGGCCTCTGGTGAGACTGGTCATCTGCACCCGCTCTGGCCTTTGCAGGGGCTAGAAAGTACAGGATTTGAGGAAATCAGAGAACCGGGGGCTGGGCTCTGGAGACAAGGTCCAGCCTGGCTGTGGCGACGTCTGTCTGCCCCAGCCTCCTGCATGTTGGGCCAGCCTCCCTGCCTGGTCCAGTCGCGGCCACCAGGGGCCGGGCCTTTCGGCTCTCACACCCCTCTGCTTGCTTTCCCCGGCAGGAAAACTAAAGCCTGTCATCAAATCCCAGCCAGTACCCAAGAACAACAAGGGGCCGGTCAAGGTCGTGGTGGGGAAGACCTTTGACTCCATCGTGATGGACCCTAAGAAGGACGTCCTCATCGAGTTCTACGCGCCCTGGTGCGGGCATTGCAAGCAGCTGGAGCCGGTGTACACCTCCCTGGGCAAGAAGTACAAGGGCCACAAGAACCTGGTCATCGCCAAGATGGACGCCACGGCCAACGACGTCACCAGCGACCGCTACAAAGTCGAGGGCTTCCCCACCATCTACTTCGCCCCCAGTGGGGATAAAAAGAACCCAATTAAATTCGAGGACGGAAACAGAGACCTGGAGCATTTGAGCAAGTTTATAGAAGAACATGCCACAAAACTGAGCAGAACCAGGGAAGAACTTTGAAGGCCCTGGGGGTCTGCAGAGGGCGTGCGCGGGAGGGACCAGACCCAGCAAAGCTTCCAGTGGTCACTGGTGGGGTCCACGCCAGCCACGAGCCTGGCAGCCTTGCTCACAGGCAGTATCTCAAGGTGTTTTGGTTAGTTTTGTGTTTTAATTTTTTTATACTCTGGTATTTTGCCTTCATGCTCTGAATACTGAATAGATATGAATGACTCAGTAGATTAGTCCAGAATTTTACAGAGGAGACATCTATTTTTATCATTATTTGGGGTTTGATTTTTTTTTTTAACTTTTCACCTTCTTTAATATATTTCTTCAAAGCAGTTAAGTTGAATCTCTTCTGTGTGCATTTTTTTTCCTTTTTTAATTTAAAATTTAAGAAACCTTTGCCAAATTGTGTTGCCTTTTGCCTTTTATTTGATCGTCGTCTGAGGAATCGTTAGCTGAAGATGGGACTGTTGGTTGTTTTTTTTTCCCATTGGGGCACGAAGTAGAACGGTCACCAGGCGCCCTGCCAAGGATGTGATTCCGGCCCAACTCAGCGGCCGCCCGACCCAGGAGAAGGAGCATCTCTATAGGCCTGGACATAACCGTGCCTTCTCCTTCCAGACCGAGGACCACGGGCAGGAGCCTGTTGCAGATGCCCCCAGGCCTTTGGAGCCAGGTTCCAAGGCTCAGCCTCCAAGAGGTCGCTCCCCACCCCCCCGCCCAAGGCCGGCAGCCACTCCTTCAGAACCGCCTTGGCTGAGGCGAGATGAGCCAGGGCCTAGGTGGAGACTTTGGGGTGGCAGGAAGGATAGACGTGGTGAAATAAAAAAACGATTGAAAATGAGCCTCCGTTGCTGTCTTAGAGAACACGATCCTGTCCCAGAGTCTCGGTGCCCTGGGCCTGGAGGGGAGGCTCCCTGCCCTGCAGCGTGCAGGTGGCTTCACCCCAAACCTGAACATCTGGGGCTGGGGGGTCCTGACCCGGTGAGGCCATCGGTGGGCCCTGCTCCTGTGTGCAGGTGGGCAGTGGTGGAGGACAAGGCACTGGGTGTGCCTGGGAGCCGGGCGGAGGGGACTCAACAGGATGGGAAGCAGGACTGGCTCTCAGAGCTCTGCATGATTTGTGTGGTGAGAGCTTCACTCGGGAGTTCATTCCCCGGGTGTGCTGTCTCCACTCACCTGCTCCTAATTTTGCTGAGACAAGAACAAGTGAGCTGGGGGCTGTTCTGAGCAGAGACTGGTGTGTTCACTGCAGGAGCTGGGTGCGGCAGGGCTGGTGGCAGCCCCGATGAGCCTTGCCAGATGATCCACTTGCTAGTTGAGTCTGGCCAGGGTGGACTGGCCACTGGGTGGGTCGGGGTATCTGGTGAGTCCGCCAGTGTGACAGGTGGATGAGTAGGGCTCCTCCTACCCACCCCACACCACCCCCGACTTTGGGCCACAAGCTCACATGAGGCAGTGTGGATGTGGGGCTTGAACCTTGTCCTTCAGCCCAGAGGCACTCATGCAGCTCACCTGGGCTTCCGTGCTGGTCGGGGAGACCTCACACAGCGCATGTGGGACTGCAGAGGAGGCCTGGGCGCTGGGAGGGGCGAGATGGCCTCTAAAGTGGAGTTTGAGCTGAGACCCGAGGATGAGTTGGTTGGAGCCCAGCAGAGGATGGGAAGGAGTCCGTTCAGCGTGTCCTGGGACTGGCAGCATTTCCTGGACATTTGTCAGAAGCACATGGTCTAGGGCTGAGCCCCAGACCTACTGAGTCGGAATCTGCACTTTTAAGAGGAGCCCAGGAGACTTACACAACAGTGAATGCAAAGGCCCTGAGGCAGAAGTCTAAGTATCCTCTTCTGAAATTCAGTCTGGAAGCCGAGTGGCCGGATGGAGGATTGGGTGAGGTCATCTTGTACTGATTGTAGAGTGCAGGCCCTTGGGAGAGCGCTTACCCCAGGCTGGTGAGGGAGCTGATAGGCTGGTGAAGGAGACCAGCGAGGCAGCTGATGACAGTCCAGTGTGATCAGAGCCAGGGTGAAGATGAGCCAGCCTGGGGAGCCCAACCTGGGAGCCTGCGCCAGCCCTTCAGAGAGGCTCACCCGGGAGCCCGGGGGAGGGTGAGACTTTTGCAGGTTGAGACAGCAGGTACAAAGGCACAGGCACCTAGCCGCATGGTAAACGAGGGAGGGAAGCAGCAATGCGAGAGGAGGTGGAGCTGAGGCTGGAGGAGGCAGGGCCCTGACTCTGACCTTGTCAGAAATTTGTAGGGAACCAAAGGTCCATATAGTCAGAGCTATGGTTTTTCCAGTAGTCATGTATGGATGTGATGGACTGTAAAGAAAGCTGAGCACTGAAAAGTTGGTGCTTTTGAACTGTGGTATTGGAGAAGACTTTTGAGAGTCCCTTGGACTGCAAGGAGATCCAACCAGTCCATCCTAAAGAAAATCAGTCCTGAATATTCATTGGAAGGACTGATGCTGAAGCTGAAACTCTAATACTTTGGCCACCTGATGCAAAGAACTGACTCCTTGGAAAAGACCCTGATGCTGGGAAAGATTGAAGGCAGGAGGAGATGGGGATGACAGAGGATGAGATGGTTGGATGGCATCACCAACACAATGAACATGAGTTTGAGTAAACTCTGAGAGTTGGTGACAGATAGGGAGGCCTGGTGGGCTGTAGTCCATGGGGTCGCAAAGAGCGACTGAACAACTGAACTGAACTAAACTGACAGTTTGGGGTTTTCCAGATGACTCAGTGGTAAAGAATCTGCCTGCCAATGCAGGAGAGAAAGGAGAAACTCAGGTTCCATCCCTGGGTCGGGAAGATTCCCCTGGAGAAGGGAATGGCAACCCACTCCAGTATTCTTGCCTGGGAAATCCCATGGACAGAGGAGCCTAGTGGGCTACAGTCCATGGGGCCCCAAAGAGTCAGACACAACCGAGCATGCACGCATTGATGATTTTAAGTAGGTAAGTGGTATGATCGGATCGAGGTAATCGCAGGGTTAAAAGGTAATATTTATTGGACATTTAGCAAAAGCCAGGCCCTGTGTCTAGCAGTTTGCCGATTATCCCACTTCAGTGATCTGTGAGGGAGACACTCTTGTGCTCACTTTACAGCTGAAGAAGGGAAGTGGGTGCATGTCTGCAAAGGTAGACCTGGGGTTTGTGGCCCCCCCTCGCAAGTTGTGCATGTCCTCTATAGAAAAGCCAGAGCAGTAGCGGGGAGCCAGGGCCGGCTGCAAGGAGTGAGGCTGCTTTAGGGCTGCGTGGCTTTAGCAGTCGAGGGCCAGCAGGAGCCGGGGCTGTTGGGGAGGTGAGGGTGGGTAAGTGGATCTGAGAAGACTGGTATCACATCCAGGGTCTGAATTGACTCTTTTGTTATTTAATTATGAAACTTCTCAAGCATACACAAAAAAGGAAGAGAGTTATTTAATCAATGCCCTTTACTCATCATCCACCTAAAACGATTACCAAAATCTTGCTGCATTTTCATTGTTCAGTCGCTAAGTTGTGTCTGACTCTGCAACTCCACAGACTACATTTTCATATCCCTTCTTTTAATGACACAGCCAAGACGTGTCATTTCATCCCAACACACTTGAAAATGCATTTTCCTACAGAACCTCAGTGCTTTATCACAGCCACGGAAAGAAACAATGATTCATCCAGTACCTGTCCCGATTTCCCCAATTTTCTCCATGTCTTTTTACAGTCAGTCTGTTTGATTCATCAGCTATCTCATCTCAGCTAGAGCAGCTCTGTCACCTCTTCATTTTCCCCACAACTGCTCCAGTTTCAGAAGAAAATGACGCGATGACTTGGGTCACTTGTGTTTTGCACAAGTTTGAGGAACGTTCAATGGTCACTGTCTCAGCGGTGTACTTAGGAGGTTTGGAAATTGGAGAGATCCAGACCGAGGGAATAAATAGTACCAGATCGTATCAGACTGATGACAGGTGCCCGGGACTGGCATCCCTTCCGAGTTATTAAAGCAGCAGTCCAGGCTGACTCTGCCCTTGGGGTGTGCAACTTGGTGCAAATGACTTATCTCTTCTCAGAGTTTGTTTTCCCATCTGTAAGGTAAAGACACAGTCTCCTTCGCAGGGGATTCATAAGGTTCCAATGCAATGACATGTGCCTAGAGTTTAGCTTTGTTCCTGGAGTGTGGGAATTCCAGGGAGAGTGGGTGTTCTGGTTAAAGAAGTCACAGCCCTTCTCCTAAGTGTTTGTCGTCTGACCTGCTTGCTATGTGATTCTCTGGGTCGGAAAGAGGAAATTGGTACACAAAAAGAATGTCAGCCCCTGAAATGCTGAATCCAAGGCTTCTCCTCTCCCCTTTTTTTGGGAACCATTTCTCTTTTTGTCTCTCCTGCCTTTTCTTTTTGTGTGTGTGCGTGGCAAGCTGGATCTTAGTTCCCCCACCAGGGATTGAACCTGTGTCTGTTGCCTTGCAAGCGCAGAGTCTTAACCACTGGACTGGCAGAGAAGTCCCTCTCCCACCTGTTCCAATGGGCCAGGATGGAGCCATTGACCTGGCAGTTGTTCAGACACTGGTAGACCCTAAATGGAGGGTGTGTGTCTGTGTGTGTATAAAACACAGATTTCTGGAGCCCAATTCTGGTCTGGGGAATCAGATCAGCGAGGTTACTGCATACTATCTGATTTCAGAAGCTTCCAAATATGCACATTTCATGCGAAATGTAGGCAGGACAGGTCTTATGACCTCTGTCACAAAATAAAGGAAGTAGAGAGAGATCAGAGGACTAAATAATTTGCCCAAAGCCACACAGTAAACTGAGAAACCAGAACAAGAGCTCAGACCCAGTGTTTTTTCCACCCGCATCTCCCAAGATGTGTTGGCAGAACACTCATGAAGGAGACTGACACAGGCTTCGTTAAGTTAGATCCTGTTGGTAGTTTGGCTTTGGAAATACTAGAATGAAAATAAATGCTTCTGTGGGGTTCTTAACCTCAGATATGCATATGACACCACCCACATGGCAGAAAGCGAAGAACTAAAGAGCCTCTTGATGAAAGTGAAACAGGAGAGTGAAAAATTTGGCTTACAGTTAAACATTCAGAAAACTAAGATCATGGCATCTGGTCCCATCACTTCATGGCAAATAGATGGGGAAATAGTGGAAACACTGACAGACTTTATTTTGGGGGCTCCAAAATCACTGCAGATAGTGACTGCAGCAATGAAATTAAAAGACTCTTACTCCTTGGAAGAAAAGTTATGACCAACCTAGACAGCATATTAAAAAGACATTACTTTGCCAACAAAGGTCCATCTAGTCAAGGCTATGGTTTTTCCAGTGGTCGTGTATGGATGTAAGAGTTGGACCATAAAGAAAGCTGAGCGCTGAAGAATTGATGCTTTTGAACTAGTGTTGGATAAGACTCTTGAGAGTCCCTTGGACTGCAAAGAGATCTAACCAGTCCATCCTAAAGAAAATCAGTCCTGAATATTCATTGGAAGGACTGATGCTGAAGCTGAAACTCCAATACTTTGGCCACCTGATGCAAAGAACTGACTCCTTGGAAAAGACCCTGATGCTGGGAAAGATTGAAGGCAGGAGGAGAAGGGGACGACAGAGGATGAGATGGTTGGATGGCATCACCAACTCAACGGACATGAGTTTGAGTAAACTCCAGGAGTTGGTGATGGACAGGGAGGCCTGGTGTGCTGCAGTCCACGGGGTCGCAAATGGTCGGACACGACTGAACTGAACTGTGGGGTTCTTGCTGAAGCTGTCAGAACCTGGAAGGCGCGTGCTGGCGTCCCCGGGGCAGGTGGGGCCCGCCCTGGCTGTCCCCTGCACGGACCCTCGGGGCTCCACAGTGACACATGCTCTTGGTGCAGAGCCTTTTGATCACAGGTGCACTTTGTGATGACACAGGAGCCCTTGGCTCCTTCCCCAGGCCACGAGCAAGTACTGGAGCCTTCCCTCTCTTCCGTCTCCACCCCCTTCACCAATGTGGGCCAGCAAGGGCTCCAGGAGCCTGAGGACAAGCCTGACCCCTGAGCCTATCTCTATGCACTTGAGCAGCAATGTCACAGATGTATTTACCCCATCTTTTCAAGATCCCATCAGCTGGAGCAAAGGTATTAAACCCCGAGAAGGTGTGTTACTGTGCTTTCTGAATCAGAGATGTTGAAAGTACATTTTCTGGTGCCTTTCCCAAGGCAAAGCGTCCCTCCTACTGTATGTCTGTTCGGTTACCCACGTGGCACGTGGCCAGCTGCACAAAGTGCAGAACTCAGGGAAGCTGAAGAGAGATCCAGGAGGCCCCCGGGACCAAGTGTGGACCAGAACCCCATTTGAATGAACCAGTGGAGAACCTCAGATCCTTGGGTCCACAGGCCTGAGGGTCAGGCAGGAAGGGGCCCACTGCCCTCCCCCAACACGGTCCCTCCTCGGCTGCTGCCTCTTCTTGCTCTTCACTCGGCTCAGCCCCACTGGACAGAGAGCACAGTTCTCTAATTCATGGTGTTCCCACCTTAGATTACAGCGATACCGGGGCAGAGGGAAGAGGACAAAGGACCACTTGTTGGTTAAGACTGCAACTAGGGGCCTTTTAGGATGAGAAGGAGCTCTTGTCTATTCTTTCTGGCTTTTCTCGTATAAAGAAGTGTGAGCTTAGCTCAGGCTGGATTGAAAACTGATGCCTTTGGAGACTTAAAAGGGCTTCAAGGTCAGAGGTTGAAAACTCCAGTGTTCAAAGAACCTCAGGCTGGAGGCGGGTGTGTGATGGGGAGTGGTGGTGACCAGGGCACACGTGCGATTCTGTGTCCCACCTGCAGGGGGCGCTTGCCGCCTGTAGGCCTCTGGTCCCACTGTTGCTATTCTGATTTTTCCAGAAAAGTCCGACCTTGTAATGTGAAATCCCTTAAATTTTTAAAACATTTATTAGTTGGTATTGAGATATAGGTGATGAACAATGTTGTGATAGTTTCAGGTGAAGAGGGAAGGGACTCAGTCATACAGATACATGTATCCATTCTCCCCTAAACCTCCCTCCCATCCAGGCTGCCACATGACATTGAACAGAGTTCCATGTGCTATGCTGGAGATCCTTGTTGGTTATCCATTGTAAATGCAGCAGTGTGTGCATGCCCATCCCAAACTCCCTAACTATCCCTTCTCAAAGTCTATGAGTCTGTTTCTGTTTTGTCGGTAAGTTCATTTGTATAATTTCTTTTTAGAGTCCACATATAAGGGGAAATACCCTAATTTTTAAGTGTTGGATCTAATTCACATTATTGTATCAATACTGTGTGGGCCAAAAAAAAAAAAAAATGGCATCTGAGAGCTGGGTTTGGTTAGAAACTGGCCCTGAATTTTGGGCTTCCCTGGTGGCTCAGATGGTAAAGAGTCTCCCTGCAATGAAGGAAAGTGGGGTTTGATCCCCTCAGTTGGGAGAAGGGAATGGCAATCCACTCCAGTATTCTTGCCTGGAGAATCCCATGAACAGAGGAGCCTGGTGGGCCACAGTCCATGGGGTCTCAAAGAACTGGACACAACTGAGCAATCAACAAATTTTTTTTTCTAATTGTTTTATAATCACATGAAAGAAACTAGCACCGAGGATGCCCTGAGTGTAATGAAAGCTTAAAAATGGAGTTCTTTTAGAAAAGCTGAAGAGTTGAGTCTGGTGCTGGAATCTGGGCTGAGTTCTCAGCGTTGCTCAGATGGATTGCTGGGTGCACAGCATGGTCTGTGCTTCGACCACATTTGAACATGAGAACATGTCCATTTGAACATGGCCACTTGGCCGGGCAGAAGCACTGCCTTTCATGGGTCACTTCAACATGTGCCCAGAGCAGCTAGCTGTGCTTGTCAGAGTCCTTCCCGTTATTTCTCCGATCGCCCCACCCCAGGAGCACACCCCTCTGCCTTTTAGTCACCCCAAGGCTAACAGGTCAGGGAAGGTCCCTGGGGGTGGGGCTAGCTGGAGGCAACCCCCTTCCCCCATCAACATCCGCTGTTCCTGCCAGAGCTTTAGCACTTCTAGCGCCTGCCTTTTTAGGAAACCGAGGCCCAGAGAAGACGCGGACCTGGCCCAGGGCACTTCCAACCGTTCAGACCTGCGAGGAGTCCGGAGCTCCCATCCGTGGTTCTGTTTCAATGCCTTGGGCTGACACTTCCGGGTTATCACAAGCGAAGACCGACTGCTACCACCAGCCCAGGCTCCTGGTGCTCTGACCTCGGGGCGGCCAGGCCCCGCCCCCTCGTGCCAAGGCCCCGCCCCTCACGCACCAGGCCCCGTCTCTCACGCCCCGCCCCCCAGCTGAAGCGTCTGATCAGACTGAAGGGTCTCTGCCTCCCTCTCCGCCCCTCCCTTCGGGTTCCCCTCTTCCGGATCTGGAGACCAAGGGCATGGAGAAGGAGCTGTTGCTCTCAGAAAGGGGCTTTGACAATCCCGCTCATCCCATAGGCGGTCAGAGAAACGTGGGCCTGACTCTTCAGAAAGGCTTTGAGGAAACTCTCCTGAGGGAGGCGAGATGGCAGAGGCAGGGCCAGGCTGGACGGAGGGCAGTGTCCTCCCAAGACCTCTCCACGGGCCGCCGTTCATTCAGGCTGGCTCCCGTGGCCCTTCCCTCCGGCCCTAGGAGGTCTGTTTATAAGGAAGATGTGGGGATCAGGCCCTCCCTGGGGAAAGGATGAAATCTGGGAGGGAGAGAACACCGAGATGCTGAGGCTGTGAGGAGACCAGATCGCAGCCACCCGAAGTCCAGAGATACCTAAGGAGGGCTACTTGGGGTCTTCATCCTCCTGGGTGAGTGTGGAAGTGCTGCCTGGGGTGGCATTGGGGTGCAGGACGGCAGGGACCCCCAGGGAGTCACCTGGAGTCACTGCTTCCTATCCCCGTGCCCGCCGGTGTCACCACGTTGGCACAGGACTATGGGGAAAGACAGGCTCTTCGTGTTTTGAGAGATTAAGAGGAAAGCAGCCAGTAGTCAAGTTACAGATGTGAGAGTTGGACCATAAAGAAGGCTGAGCACTGAAGAATTGATTCTAATTGTGGTGCTGGAGAAGACTCTGGAGAGTTCTTTGGACAGAAATGAGATCAAACCAGGCAATCCTAAAGGAAATCGGTCCTGAATGTTCATTGGAAGGACTGATGCTGAAGTTGAAGCTGCAATACTCCGGCTACCTGGTGTGAAGAGCTGATTCACTGGAAAAGACCCTGATGCTGGGAAAGATTGAAGGCAGGAGGTGAAGGGGATGACAGAGGATGAGATGATAGGATGGCATCACTGACTTAATGGACATGAGTTTGAGCAAGGTCTGGGAGATGGGGAAGGACAGGGAAGCCTGGCGTGCTGCAGTCTATGGGATCCCAAGGAGTCTGACACGACTGAGTGACTGAACAAGTCAAGCCAGGGACACAGATTCTTGGGGAAGAAGCTCTCTGGTCGGGACCCAGTGCTCCAGATGCCTGAGCCTGGGATTTACATGCACCCAGGGGACTGACAGCTGTGATCTCAGGGGTGGGGTGAAAGGGAGGGGGCTGAGCAGGGAGCACCCAAGTGGGTCTGTCCTTACTCCTGGGACCACTCCAGCTCTGCAACCATCTGGACAGAAAAAGCATCCAAGTGGATTCCAGTGTTATGGATCGAATGTTTGTGTCCCCCCGCCACAACATCCGTATGTTAAAACCCGAACCCCTGGTGTGATGGCATTTAGGGGTGGGGCCTTCGGGGGTCATTAGGTTTAGACGTGGTTCTGAGGGTGGGGCCTCCATGGCGGTATTAGTGTCCTCGTAAGAAGAGAAAGATGACCAGCACCTCCTCTCTCCATGGGCACTTCAACAAGGAAAGGCCACGTAAGGACATAGCAAGAAGTTGGCTGTCTTCTAGCCAGGAAGAGGGTCCTCACCAAGATCCAAATCAGCTGGGACTTGGACCTCCAGCCTCCAGTCTGTTGTTTCATTGTAGCTCCCGAGTCAGCTATGACAAATGGTATTATTGGTCTGAACACGCACAATTCCTGTGCAGTGGTCCACTCAGACCCCAGGGCTCACATCAACTGGGTGCCAAGGTCAGACCCCCTCCCATGCACCCTGCACCCTGCATACAAGATCTTAGCTCTCTAATCAGGGATCAAACCTGAGCCCACTGCAGTGGAAGTGTGGAGTCTCAAACACTGGACCAGCAGTTAAGGAATGACATTTCTTAATCATTCTTAACCATGAATAGGAATGTCCCTATTCCATTTTTAAAATATTTTTAGCTGTATTTTCACAATTCAAAGGCACGAGGGCTAAAGAAGGCAGACGTTTGATTTTCAGCCAATTCCCCAGGTGGGTATCAGTGAGTTATAAGAAAAAGACATGACTTCTCGCTGCCCAAATCTTTGGTATTCATACAGTTTTAAGTGTCATTTCTCCAGGTTTTGATTGTTCTGGTTCCCTGTCTATTTCCCTGTGACCCAGGGCTGTAACACATGAAGAGCTAAGGATGCTCAGACAGGAGGGTGGATGGTGTGCTCCCCCGAATTCTGAGACCCATTGAGGGTGGCCGCCTGACCTCAGCGCCTAAGGGGCCTTGCTCACCCACCTGCTCGGCCCCAGGCTGCTTAAGTTGGAGCTTTGAAAAAATAGGAACCTGGGGAAGTTGTGGTGGTAACCACGGGCTCCTGACTCTTTGCCCATGGGGACAAATAATCTTGCTGGCTGTTGGGCCCCATCTTGGAAAGGCGCAGGGAAGAGATGTGGCCAAAGGGGACCTTTCCCAGATAGATTCGGAATGAAGCGAAGGAGGGAAGGTTGAGAGAATTCACCTGGCCTGGGAGGGCACAGAGATGGAAAGAGGGAAAATCCTGCCCTCATAAAGCACTTTGGGAGCATTTGGAGAGGAATCTTTAATAAAATCAGGGCGATCTCTCTTCTCTTTGCCATAAGTTAATTGATTAGAACTTCAAGGCAGACATAGTCAAAAGGTTTTCAGTGAAGTACTTTCACTGTCTCCTTAAGATAACATTAAAGTAACCCTGCATCACCCATGCAGACCTGCCCCAACCGGTGGGTCCTCCTTGGTCCAGTCCACGGACACGGCCTCCTGGGGAAAGGACTACAGGCTGTGCTGCGCCCACACTGGGGGGCTGACCAGGCCCACAAATCCAAGGGTCAAGGGAGCATGAACCTTGGCAGACAGTCCCCTCCGCCTTCTGCAGAGCTGTCCACCTGGGCGACCCGAGACCCAGGGGAGGGTTCTGAGCCAGCAGGGCCAGCGAAGCCTGGCTCACGACCCTTGGGTGACGGGAAGAAGGGAGGACATCGGGGTGGACATTGGGGACTGAGCTGTCCCTGGAATCGGGTACTCCCCCCCCACCGCAAACGCGTCTGCCACCATTGATCTTACTAACAGGGCAAACCCTGGAACCACTTCCAGCCCATTTTTCTCATCCATAAAACCAGCAAAAATATTGTCAGTCCTACTTCGTTCTCAGGATTGTCATGGGGACCAAGTCTAACGGAATACTTAGTTGAAAGCATGTTTGCAAAGACAAGGAAGTGTGAGGAAGCGTAAGTTACCATCTTGGTCAGTTTCCCCTGGGCACTCTAGTTTGCCAATGTCCTTTTAAAAACTGAGCCCTGGGATGAAGAGGTACAAATGATTAGCTACAAGAATATATTGTACAGTAGAGTATAGCCTTTAAAAATTCTGAATCACTATACTGTACACCTGTAACATAATAACCTGTAATATAATATTGTATATATTATTGCATAATATAACCTGTAATATAATTTGTACATCAAACATACTTCAATGTGAAAATAAAAATTGAATTAAAAAAAAAAGAGCTCTGAGCTCATCCTGAGCAGAGCATACTTCCTGGGGACAGCCTCTGTGTAACTCCACTTGGTTCTGCATTTTTGTGAGATTCTCTTATCTCTGCTTATCTTATCTCTGCTCAGATTTCCTTTCCTTTATAACTGAAAAGATACACTTAATTTGTGTCTGTTATCTTGTTAGTTTGTATCTCTTAGTTTTTCATTAGACTGTATCTGTTCAGCCAGGGGAAATGTTTCTGAACCTTAAGACCTAACATCCTTGTGGAACTTTTTTACCTGCGAAAGTAAACTCTCCAAAACTTCTCGCTCAATCCTCCACACCTCCTATAAAATAGATATTCTGATTATGCCCATTTTAAAGGTGGAGAGACTGAGACACAAGCAAGGTAAGCAGCTTGTCCAAAGACATGGAACTAGTAGGTGATGAAAACTAGGACTTCAAGCCCAGGTAATGTGAAATAAGCCCCTGCTGTTAATCTCTCATTGCCTTCCTGATTCTCACAGCATCTTAGCTATTGTGTCCTCAATAAATCTGAGTGAAGTATCTCATTTACGTGAATGATGAAAACAGGTTAGGCAGGTCTGGCCGAGGGACAGCCCAAAGCACATTACTAGAGACCTCCCCCCACCCCCTCCCCGTACCCCCAGGATGGCCTCAGTCCCCATCAGCAGCCTCTGAGTCTGGCTGCTGAATGGACTTCTGGCCCACAAAAAAGCATTAGAGATGGGAACAATTTAGTCAAGTCAAGCAGTGCCTTTAGAAACAAAAAGAAATTCAGTTATTTTGATGCGTGACTTTTTCTTGTTACTTTCAAATTGGCTCCCAATGTACATCCACCTCCTAAATAATCCATTCCCGAGTTTTGCCCCAGACCAATATCAATTTAGAGATTGTGATTTATGAAAGTCTTACTCTTCTTTTTCCCATCTTGAAAATTGGGACATCTGCCTGCATCTGGTTTTCTGGGACTGTCCATTCTCCTTAATCTCACTCACTCCCTCACTCACCACATTTATTGAGCACCTGGCACACACAAGGGAACAAGGGGAGTCAGGCGGGCAGCCAGCAATTCTAATTTCACAAAGTGGGTAAGGGGTGTGTTTGGTCTGGGTCTGGAGATTTGAACTCCCAAAGGGGCAGCTGCTTGCCCTCCGGTTCCTGCCTTCCTCCTCCCCCCTGCTCCAGAATATTCCTGACCTTGCTGTCCCAGACGCATATCTGCAGTCCTTGTGCTATTCTTTGCATTGGGGGTGAACTTTCAGGCCCTTCCGAGTTCTGCCTCTCTGAGGATTTTACAGAAATACGTCCCTCTCGCCTTCACTTCGTCATCTTCACTTCTGACCTTCGGGTTCTGTCTTCTGACCTTTTCAAAAGCATCCCTTTTTCAGAAGCATCCAAGGTGTTTGGGTATTTCAGATGCTTGTCTTCCCATCCCTGTGGTGGTGTCTGTTTTTTTTTTTTTTTTTTTTAAATCACTTGGGATTTAAGGAGGAGGAGCAGATCTTGAGTCATCTGGAGACCTCTGCCCTTTTGGAGGGAGCCGACTCCAAGATGCGAGAGCGCTGCTTCCAGGGTGTGGGGGCTCCGCCTGGGTTTACAGACGTGGGGAGGCACAAGACTTTATCTGCTCCAGCTCACAGTTTTCTCCAGACCTCGCTGAGCCGTCTCCAGGGTCACGTGTGGTAAACAGACAAAGGAGGTCAGCGCTGATTGGACAGCTGAGCCTCCCCCTACCAATGGGACTGAGACACGCCCCAGTGACGAGTTGCTAATTTTGCATGTCTCCTTCCCAGGATGCTCAGCAGTGCTTTTGATTCTTGTCATTAAACATATTTCTGCTATTTTTTGATAAATAGGTCCTGAGGGGAGCGTTAAGGGATGCATATTATTCATATTGCAAATATTGTACTTTATAAATGCTAGCTGAAATATCACTGTAAGGTAAAAATGAATGAACACTTGAGCTTTAAGTACTTCAGGCGGTGAGTGGGATTTTCGGCTGGTCCGAAGGTAGTGAGTTATCTCAATTGATTGTTCACAGTCAGTTACAGATCGAACTCCTCGTTCTACTCTTCCCCCCTTCTCACTACTGCACTTGACTAGTCTTTTGTGGGCTTGACCCCCTTCTAGGTATTAAATACCTCATTCTTGATTTTAATTTAAAAAAATTGGAGGTCAACACTATCTTATAATTGAGACAATAGCTGGTAATGCAATTTTTTTAAAAAAACAGTTCTTTCCCTCCAGAAACCAAAAAATGAATTTGAGGAAAACCATCACAGAAGCTCCCTCACCCCTCAGGGGAGCGCCCCACCCCCATTCAAATAGTTATGGGAAAGATAGTATATATATTCTAAGAGGTCACAGAAAGAAAATGGGGCAATGGGTGGGGATGAACGAGGATTTTATTTTTCCCACTTTTTCATGGTGTGGGGCTTTTATTTAATTTCTACATTCTTTAAATCATTTGCAAAAAAGGGAAAAAGTCTTTAAAGATATGTAAGGATTTTAAAATGCTTTGAATATCAATAGGATGAATGATTAATATTTGATAATACAATACTTAATCACAAAATTAGGAGACATTTCAAAGTTGACAATCATGTTAAGTTTTGAAGACAGAGATGTGAACATTCTCAAAGAGAAAATGTTTTGGAAAAAGAAAACCCAAGTCCAAGGGTCTGGGAATAGAGAAGAAAGTGGGAGAAGGGCAGAGTACATTGTAGGACTCCCGGGTGGGACTTTGGAGCCACATTCTCATCCTGGTTCTGTCCTTACTTTCTCGCATAACCTTAAGAAAATAATTAAGCCGCCTCTTCCATCTGACATGGGGTGGGGGTGGGGGGTACAAAACAGTACCTTCCTACTTCTTAGCTAGATGGAAATGTAAACTCCTAACAGCATCAGAAGTGAGACATAGTACTGCGTAGCTGTCACAAATGTGTATATAATAAAGGAAACTGGTTTGTCCTTACAAGTGCAAGCAATCCAAGGTACCTTGAGGATTTCCTTGGTGCTTCCACAAATACCATCTTGTTTAGTCGACCAGGTAGAGAGGTAAGGCAGTGTTAGGAGTACCACCGTCAGGAAGCTGGAGGGTGTTCTAGGTCCTGTGCCCTTTCTTGTTCACCTGTTGCTTCCTTGAAAGGGACATACACTTAGGAGTGAATCACCTTGATTACAGTGAAACTAGGGAGCATATTAAAAAGCAGAGACATCACTTTGCCTACCAAGGTCTATATAGTCAAAGCTATGGTTTTTCCAGTAGTCATGTATGGATGTGAGAGTTGGACTATAAAGAAAGCTGAGCGCCGAAGAATTGATGATTTTGAACTGTAGTGTTGGAGAAGACTCTTGAGAGTCCCTTGGACTGCAAGGAGATTCAACCAGTCCATCCTAAAGGAAATCAGTCCTAAATATTCATTGGAAGGACTGATGCTGAAACTGAAACTCCAAAACTTTGGCTACTTGATGTGAAGAACTGACTGATTAGAAAAGATTTGCAACGGAGGATGCTGAAAAGGGAGGTCCTCTGGTCTCTGGATTGTTCAGGCGTGAAGGATGGAGAACAGGAGGTTTATTGCATTGGCTTAAACCCTGGGTCCAATAAGTTTTGCTTTTCCAACTAAACATAAAGATTTGAGTATGGGGCTGGGGAGCAAACCAAAAAAAAAAAAAAAAAAAAAACAACCCCACAACCCTTCTCTTCCAAATACAAGCTTCTGCAAATTAAGAATATTTTGGCTTCAACCGTGGTGTCTGCAATGATAGCAGGATTGGGGATACATTTTTACTAAGACTTGTAATCTGAGCTTCAAACTTGAGAGGCGGCTTGTATGTATCTAGCAACCCTGTCTTCTTCACACAAGTCTTACAGAAGAACTAACCTCAAACCCCTTTCTTTCTGGACTTGTTACATCACTGTAGGCTGGCCTCATTGTTTAGTTGGCCATTCATTATTGGTTTGAAGTTCTTATCACCTGGTTAGGAATCTTCCGGAGGAGAAGGGGACGACAGAGGATGAGATGGCTGGATGGCATCACCGACTCAGTGGATATGAGTTTGAGCAAGCTCCGGGAGTTGGTGAAGAAGGGAAGCCTCATGTGCTGCAGGCTCCTGAAGGCTGCACCTGCCTGTGGTCCACTGGTCATCGCTGGCAGGCAGTCATGCCTGTGCATTTCCCCCTGTGTTTTAAAAAAAGTCAGGCAGGACTTAGTTCTTGACTGTCCTGGGCGGGGGAACAAAGAAAAAAAAATTTTTTAAACACTGATTTCCCTTTAACCACACTCAATAAAAGGCTAGTCAAGTGAAGCAGTGGGAGTGGAGAAGGAACAAAGAAATCTGTAACTGGCTGTGATCAATTAATTGTAAACACCACTGCACTCGGACCAGCCGAGGAACTGGTGCATACGGCTACTTATATAAGCCTCCAGCACGCCATCTCTTCTAGACTTACGGTGATTATCTACAGAGGGGAGAGGCCGTTCCTGATTCCTTGTAACGTACGACCCTGACTGTTAGAAAAGAAAACCATTAAGCAGATGAACTTTGTCAAGAAAAGAGCCTTTTCCTTTTCGGTGGAATTGCAGGAGCTGCGGGCGGCCCTGCTAGAGCATTGTGGGTGATCTGCATGCAAAATGAGGCGCGGGCCGGGGGCTCCCGGAATCCCCGAAGGTGGGTCCTGGCGGGTCTGTGAAGGGTGCGGAGCCCCCGGGTTTGTCTGAAGTTTCCGAGGGTCGGGGCGTGTGAGTGGGGGCGGCCGGGCGCCGGCGGGTTCGGCTTCCCGGGGCCCCACGCCCCGCATGTCGGGCTGGGACGCGGGGAGCTCGCCCGGGACGCGCGGGGGTGTCACCGTCCGGAGCTGGGCGTCCCGGGACGCGGAGCCCAGCCGCCCGGGGCGCCCGAGCGCCTGCACGCGGCGGGGAGCTCCCCGCGAACTGCGGCCCCGCCATCTCCGCGGCCATCCCCTCCTGTCCTCCGCGAGCGCTTTTGTTTTTAGGAGAACCCGGGACGGTCAGCTCTCCTGGAGGGAGATCTCTGCCCCCTTGTTTACGCAGAAAGGGAAACAGTGACTTTGGTCCCTAACGGCTAAAATTAAAAATCTGTATGATTCACTTCAGTTCAGTCGCTCAGTCGTGTCAGACTTTGCGACCCCCATGGGGCGCAGCTCGTCAGGCTTCCCTGTCCATCACAAACTCCCGGAGTTTACCCAAACTCATGTCCATTGAGTTGGTGCTGCCATCCAGCCATCTCATCCTAAGTCGTCCCCTTCTCCTCCTGCCCTCAATCTTTCCCAGCATCAGGGTCTTTTCAAATGAGTCAGCTCTTCGCATCAGGTGGCCAAAGTATTGGAGTTTCAGCTTCAACATCAGTCCTTCCAATGAACACCCAGGACTGATCTCCTTCAGGATGGACTGGTTGGATCTCCTTGCAGTCCAAGGGACTCTCAAGAGTCTTATCCAACACCACAGTTCAAAAGCATCAATTCTTCAGCGCTCAACTTTCTTTACAGTCCAACTCTTATATCCATACATGACTACTGGAAAAACCATAGCCTTGACTAGACGGACCGTTGTTGGCAAAGTAATGTATGATTAATCTCTATGATTAGCAGTGAGGGTTTTTTTTGTTTGTTTGTTTTTTGTTTGTTTTTAAATGACTCCTGGAAGAAATGGGGCGGGTGATAACCGGAGCTGGGAAGTCACCTGGCTTTTCTCTGGCAGAGCGGGTCCCGGGGTCGCTGACCTCCAGCCCCGCACCGCCAGCCGCGCGGTCTTCTCCAAGTGCAAGGCCATTTCCCCCGTGGCTTTGCGTGGACCGGGGTCCCCACGGCCAGAAGCGAACAGCGAGAGCTGGGCGCACAGCGCGGCTTTGGGACAGATCGCTTTCAGGTTCCCTAGGGAGGACCAGTCCATCCTAATGGAAATCAACCCTGAATATTCATTGGAAGGACTGATGCTGAAGCTGAAACTCCAATACTCTGGCCGCGTGATGCCAAGAGCCGACTCATTGGAAAAGACCCTGATGCTGGGGAAGGTTGAAGGCAGGAGAAGGGGAAGACAGAGGATGAGGCGGTTGGATGGCATCACTGACTCAATGGACATGAGTTTGAGCAAACTCCAGGAGATGGTGAAAGACAGGGAAGCCTGGCGTGCTGCAGTCCTTCGAGTCACAAAGAGTTGGGCACGACTGAGCTACTGAACAACAAGAACAAATTTACCTTTTATTATCACCCAAAGTCCATAGTTTGCATTAGGGTTCACTCTTGGTGTAGTATATTTTATGGGCTGGGGTAAATGTTTAATGATATGTGTCAGTCATTATAATATTATCCAGAGTAGGTTCACTGCCCTAAAAATCCTCTGTGCTCCAGTATTCATCCCTCTCTCCCACCTAATTCCTGGCAACCGGTGATCCTTTTGCTGTCTCCATCGTTTGCCTTTCCAGAATGACATATAGTTGGAATTATACAGCATACAGCCTTTCACATTGGTCTTTTCCACCTAGTAATATACCTTTAAATTTCTTCCATGGCTTTTCATGGCTTGATAGCTCATTTCTTTTTGTTATTGTTGTTCAGTTGCTCAGTCGTGTCCAACTCTTGGCGACCGCATGGACTGCAGCACACCAGGCCTCCCTGTCCATCACCAACTACTGGAGTTTACTCAAACTCATGTCCATTGAGTCGGTGATGCCATCCAACCATCTCATCCTCTGTCATCCCCTTCTCCTCCTGCCTTCAATCTTTCCCAGCATCAGGGTCTTTTCCAGTGGATTGGCTCTTCTTTTAGTGCTGACTAATATTTCGCTGTTTGAATATGCAACAGTTTATTTATCCACTTATCTAGAGAGGAACATTTCCCAAGTTTTGGCCATTGTGAATAAAGCTGCTATAAACATCTGTATGCAGGTTTTGGGGTGTACGTGTTTTCAGCTTCTTTGGGTAAATACCAAGGAACATGGTGTTGGATCATATAGTTAGAGTATGTTTATTTTTGTAAGAAGTTGCTAAACTCTTCCAAAGTTGATGTACCATTTTGCCTTCCCACCAGCGACAAAGGAGAATTCCCGTTGCTCACATCCTTACCAGCACTTGATGTTGCCAGTGTTTTGGCTTTGGGCCATTCTCACAGGTGTGTAGTAGTGTCTTATTGCTTTAATGTGAATTCTCTAATGATGTATGATGTTGAATATCTTTTCATATGCTCCTTTGCCATGTGGATATCTCCTTTGGTGACATATTTATTCAAGTATTTTGCCCATTTAAAAATTGCATTGTTTTCTTTCTCATTGTTGGACTTTAAGAGTTCTTTGTAAACTCTGAATAGCAGTCATTTATCAGATAAATGTCTTTTGCAAAGCATTTTCACAAATGCTTTTTCTGCATTTATTGATATGAGCATGTGACTTTTGTTCTTTAGCCCAAGGATATGTTATTTGATCTCCAAATATTGAATCATCCTCACATACCTAGTATAAATTCCACTTGGACAGGGTGTATAATTATTATTATTTTTTCATTTATTTTTATTATTTGGAGGCTAATTACTTTACAATATTGTAGTGGTTTTTGCCATACATTGATATGAATCAGTGATGGATTTACATGTGGTCCCCATCGTATAATTATTTTTAAACATTGTTGGATTCAGTTTGCTGGTATTTTGTTGAGGAATCTTGTATCTGTGTTCATAAGAGATGTTGGTTTGTAGTTTTCTTGTGATGTCTTTATCTGGTTTTGGTATTAAGGCAATGCTGGTCTCTTCTATTTCTATATTCTGGAAGAGATTATAGAGAATTGGCATAATATCTTCCTTAAGTGTTTAGTAGAGCTCACCAGTGAACCCATTTCTGCCTGGTGCTTTCTGTTTTGAAAGGTTACTAATTATTGATTCAATTTCTTTAACAAGATATAGGCTTATTCAGATCGTCTACTTCTTATATAAGTTTTGGCAGATTGTGTCTTTGAAGGAATTGGTCCATTTCAACTAGGTTATCAGATGGTAGACATAGAGTTGTTTACAATATTACTTTAAAAATATTTATTAATTTGGCTGCACAGGCTGTTTGTTGTGGCGTGTCACAACTAGATGGTCAAACCTAGGCCTCCTGCACTGGGACAGTCTTAACCACTGGACCACCAGGAAAGTTCCTACAATAGTCCTTTTAATGTCCGTGGGCTCTGTAGTGATGTCCGTTGTTTCATTTTGATAAAGTACCTTATATATTCTCTTTTTTTTCCCCTTAATCAGCCTGGCTAAGGCTTATTGAATTTATTGATGTTTTCAAAGGACCAGCTTTTGGTTTTGTTGATATTCTCTATTGCTTTCCTATTTTCAGTTTCAGTGATTTCTGCTTTAATATTTATTGTTTCTTTCTTTTTGCTTACTTTGGATTTGACTTACTGTTCTTCTTTTAGTTTACTAAAGTGGATGTTTAGTTGATTGATTTTAGGTCTTTCTTCTTTTCTAATATATTCATTCAGTGCTATAAATTTCCCTCTAATCACTGCTTCTCTGTATATCATCTTTTTAAGTTGTTGGGTTTTTTTTTTTTGGCTTCACCACATTGCATGTGGGATCTTAGTTCCCTGACCAGGTGTGTTGCAGAAAGCGTTTACTTTCATCTCAAGTTCAAAGGATTTATTAACAAAATAAGCCACTTGTTATATATACAAATAAATAATACCAATATTTTTTAGAGAATTATTTAGCTTACTTTCAATATACTAACATTAAAAGAAAAAAGAAGTAGAAACAGCTGAGGATCATAACCTAACTGGAATTTGACCAACATCCAGGCTTAAACAGCACTGGGAAGTCCTCTGTCACAGCACATTTGGAGTCCCAATTGGAAAAAGGTGCCAGGCAGCACATCTCTTCTGTGAGTGAGACTTCAAAAATTGCAGTTTGGGGTTCCTGCTCATAATCCCAGGATGCAAATTGATATCGTCATCAGTCTGGGAGCAAATGGCAGCTCTGGTTTCATATTAATGCAGTTTGTTGTGTCTTGTAAAACATGGAATGTTGTTAAGCCTGGGTCATTAAAAGACGCTGGTTCCTTGGAAGAAAAGCTATTACTAACCTAGACAGCATATTAAAAAATAGAGACATCACTTTGCCAACAAAGGTCCATATAGTCAAAATTATGGCTTTTCCAGTAGTCATGTAGAGATGTGAGAGTTGGACCATAAATACGGCTGAGCACTGCCAAAGAATTGATGCTTTTGAACTGTGGTGTTCGGAGAAGACTCTAGAGAGTCCCTTGGACAGAAAGGAAATCAAACCAGTCAATCCTAAAGGAAATCAACCCTGAATATTCATTGGAAGGCCTGATGCTGAAGCTGAAGCTTCAATACTTTGGCCACTTGATGAAAAGAGCCGACTCATTGGGAAAGACCCTAATGCTGGGAAGGACTGAAGTCAGGAGGAGAAGGGGGCAACAGAGGATGAGATGGTTGGATGGCATCACCGACTCGATGGACATGAGTTTGAGCAAGCTCTGGGAGTTGATGATGGACAGGGAGGCCTGGTGTGCTGCAGTTCATGTGGTCTCAGAGTCAGACACGACTGAGCGACTGAACAAACAAACAAAATGGTTGGCCAGACCCCCTCCAGGGGCTCAAGAATCTCAAGATTTCTCCTCCATCTTATTTAAGGAGCTGTAAGTCTTGCGCTCACAGCGGGCAGTCACTCCCAGTCAGGGCGGTGTCCAGGCAGGTTAGAAGCAAGGTGAGAGGCCTGCTCTGCTTTGTCTTTGCAGCCTAAACAAGACTACCTGTTTAACTTCCCTAATGCCAGGGATTGAACCTGAGTGCCCTGCATTGGAAACACCAAACCCCTAACACTGGAACACGACGGAAGTCCCGGCATCTCACACATTTTAATATTGTGTTTTCATTTAGTTCAAATATATAAATTTTCTTTTGAGAGTTCTTCTTTGACCCATGCCTTATTTATAAGTGTGCTGTTTAATCTCTAAGTAGTCTGGGATTTTCCAGCCAGCATTCTGTTACTGATTCCTAGCTCAATTCTGTTGTGGTCTGAGAGCAGCCCTTCTATGATTTCTATTCTTTGAAATTCATTAAGGTGTACTTTATAACCCAGGATGTGGTCAATCTGGGTGAATGTCTCCTGTGAGCTTGCGAAGAATGTTAATTCACTCTCTGAATGAAGTAGCCAATGGATGTCAGTCAGTGATTTATTTGTAATAAAGTGAGTCCTGGGGAATCAGGAGAATTCGGTCTGACAGATGCTTGGGCTGAGTCTGCATGTATTGGTTGACTGTATGCCTGAGAGTTCTCCAAATGAACTCCCATGTAGCACATAATATGTGTTAAAGAAAATATTTAAAATGTGCTAATTCCAGGGACTTTCCTGGTGGCTCAGGGGTCAAGAATCTGCCTGCTAATGAAGAAGACATGGGTTCCATCCCTGGTCCGGGAAGAGTCCACACACTGCAGAGCAGCTAAGCCCCTTCGCAACAACTGTTGCACCTGTGCTCTGGAGCCCAGGAACCACGACTGCCGAGCCCACGCGCAGCAAGGACTGAAACCCTCGTACCTGGAGCTCGGGAGCTGCAGCCTGCAGCTGACACCCCAGTGAGAAGCCTGCGAACTGCAACCAGAGAGCAGTCCCTGCTCGCAGCAGCTGGAGAATAGCCTGTGCCAGCCATGAAGACCCATCACAACCAAAACAAACAAAAATAACATTTAAAAATGTGCTCATTCCACACCTGTAGGTTATCTTATTAAATTCAAGAGTAACTGCCAGCAGTGTTTTAGAACTTGAGTCAACAACAGATTTCGGGAGAGAAGCATTTTATGGCTGGCATTGCTTACAATTGCCAGTGCATGGTGCTCAGAAGAAGCAGGCCACCTTTTAGTTGGTTCTCTGATTGTTTTTAGGTCCCCCCAG